TCTAGGATTCTATATCTGTCTTGCTTATCGAGACCCTACAGCAATGGTAAGAATGGAAACCACAACAGGTTCCGAGATCGGATCAGGTGTAGGATATTCTGGATCAGGTTCAACTTCAGTGATGAAAATGAGTCCAGGTACACAAGAACTGTATGAAAGGGAACAAGTACGAAAGTTGGCCAAAGAATCTCATTTGAAAGATGATCAACATCAATGGTTTGAAAGATTTGATCATCATTCAATGGAAGGGAGAAAAACACTTCGTGATGGTCATAAGACTAATCGTCGTAAAACACAACAAGTATCACCGACCCCAACCACCACTGGCACCACCAGCACCACTACAGCTGATAATGAGACGCCCAACCCAACCACAATGACAGCACCTACCCAACCACGTATGGATCGTACAGAATACACTCCAAAACAAATCCAACACATCGAACGAAAAGCAAACCGACAGAAACGAGGACGAGATTACTATTATTACCCAGCAGCCGATAACTTTGTACCGATCTCCAAAGATTGTGGTGATGTGAGTGGATACTGTGGAAGGATGAGAATCTATGATTCGATTCATAATGATCAACTTTTATATGATACTGGTTGTTGTCATTGTGGACCTTGTTTGAGTAATAAAGAACGACCTGAGGCTGAGAAATGGTTGGATTGTGCTGTGCTTAGTGGGGCTGCTGCTTGTGTTGGTTCATTGTATGGTTATTGCAAGTACAAATCTTCTTGAAAACTTGAGCTTCAAGTTTCATGAAATCTTGCATCTTTGTGTGATTCATCTTATTGCTTATTACTAGTTTTTGTTCTGTTCTTTGGGATTTATTTGGTCATCTTGTTGGTTGATATAGAATTCTTTCTATTTCTTGGTTGATATGTGATCCCATCTAGTCTGGATGTTGATCAAGAAATTTGACAAATCTTTAGTTCTGAAAGGTAAGCAAGACTGTAAGGAATCATGAAAAACTTTTGAACAGAAAAGTCTTCTCAAAAACAGTATTGACAGTACAAATGTATGAAAAATTGATGACCAAAGAAAGTGAGCAAAAGTACTCAGGACTCAGTAGCAATTAGTGATAATTCATTGTTGCTTGTAGAAATGTACATCATTCAAAACATATATGGGTGGAGCATTTTTTCTGCCCATTTGTTAATTATTGAATTTGTATTCTGCCACTGAGCTCAAGAGTTCTTTCCAGATGCATTTCCAGTTTCTGGGCAAAAGAATTTTTCTACCCAAAGATGGTGTTCTTTTGGTGACCAAGAGCAAAACCCTGTAAGATAATACAAGATCAAAAGAAGATTGTCATACCAATTGAGTTTAAACCACTATAAAAGTAATGGGGATGATTAGACCATATCAAATGTCATCTCATATATTCATCTAAGAAACCAGCTGGTATATAAGGTAAGATGATGGGAATCTAGTTGAATTTGTCCCTGACAAGTTTCTTTGATTTCGACTTGGTTTTGACAAGAGTTGTACCATTTTGATGGATGGTTGTCATGGATCCATAGTTTGTGTTGATGTGATGCAAAAACTCCAATACATCATATGACAGTATTGAGACCATTGCAAGGCTTTCTCTGACCATACTTTTTATAAGTTAAAACTCATCTATACCTGCTTGTCATTGTCCCATCATCTTATCTAGAATCTTCCCAACTTGTGTCTATCATCTTCTTGGGCCAAATGTTACTTCCAATTTATGTTGTTTTTGTAATATGATAATGATTTACTCACAGAAATTATTCAATCAACACACTCTCTCAAATTTTTTACTTGATTATCTCTCAATCCAAAGGATAAGGGACTATTTCCTGAAGAATCTTCTACATGTCAAATCAATACACAAGATTTGGGTATCAATCTTATTTCAAGGCTTCCTCTGGCCATAATAAGTCCTGGGTTGACAATTCAAACACCACCCACTGAGGCAGCTTTCATGTCAAGGTGAAACCCCATAGGAACCTTCAGTTAAGCTTAAAAACAAATAACACAGAAGACAACAGAGTAAGTGAAAGAGTATAGCTTTTTTGAAATAGTTTTCTCAGTAGCATGTGATGCAAACAGGTTTTGACACTGCTTGGTGAGATTCTAAATAGAGTAAAGCCAAAAAAGAGTGAGAAAACAAGGGAACAAAGCAGAACAAAGCACAAAGACAAGTTTTGGGCTATGCTGACATGTTTTACTGTAACATTTTTGTGTGGATGGTTTTTCTCTTATAATATATCACTATGTCTTCATTTCTTGTTTTCAGCTTTTTCCCCTTTTGAGTAGTAAGTTTGTTTGACGCAAATAATTATACTAATTCTACAAACCTCTACTTGATATCCATTGACTCTTCCAGTGCTCTTTGTTGTCAATATGCAAGCTAATTATTCCCTCATACATACCTTTGACCTTGCAAGTGATGCACAAGGCATGAGGCGCTTATAGGAAAGAAATCAAATTTGGCACAGAAGTTAATCACTTTTAGTAAAGGCAATCTTGGATTTCTGGCCCATTGGAGTTTTGATCATCAAATTTTCAAAAAGTGGTCAGGCAGAAGCACTGTCTCTTGCTCAAGAGATCTCCCTCTTCAAAAATTCTAACAAACAATGAGAAGAGAATTTCCCCTGAGAGGATACCCTTGTGTTCATGAAATCTCATGAATTTCAATTATTGACTACAGTGGAATCAAAATTAAGGTTGAAAATACAGGCCACAGCCAACCAATGAATTTCACAAGAAAATTCCCTCTCAAGGGAAACTTCTCCAACATTTTTCTTAAAAACTCTGAAGAGAGAGATCTGTTAGAAAGAAGAAGGTGCTTCCCCAGTGTCCACTAATACAAATCCAATATCTTACAAAAATACAACCAAGGTGTTACATCTTGAACTGAGTTATCTTTTACACTTTACTTACATAAGAACCTTGAGGAAATAAAAATTGTACAAATTCTTAACTGACCAGACTTTTGACAACTTTGAAAAAAAAAATCAAAACCTCATCCCCACTTCCAACCACTTTCTTTTCTTACCGTCCTTCACTTTCGATATTTAAACTCTTCAAATTTCAATTTCTTTTAAATTTTCTTCTTGGATAGAGTCAAGTTTAGTTTTACTGATAATTTGAAAAACATCTTTCCTTTTAATCTTTTGACTTCTTTGTTGATTGATTCCATACATGTTTCTTTGATGAAGTTGATGATTACTAATTGAATAAAATCTTGGGGGTCCATTGTTTCTTTGATTTTCATATTTAACAATCTGGTTTTGATGATCTGGTTGATGATGATGATTTTTAATTTTAATGGATTGATTGTTAAACCTTTTTTCCTCATTTGAACTTTTTGAATCTGTGAAACTGTTTAAATTTAATTTAATTGGAAAATGTGAAAAGAAATTAGAAGAGATGAAATTCTTAGATATGTTTTTGATTTTAAAAGATTTTAAACTTCTAGAGTCTCCATGTCCAAGTTCACTTTCTTCATCACTGTCTTCTTCAACTTCTTGAATCAAATTTCGATGATTCAAAGAACGATGTAATGGATCATTAAAACGTGTAGAAGGCAGCCTAAATTGGTTAGCTTTTGGTAATTCAATATTGATAGGTGATGGATCACGTTGATTGATAGGATTAGAACAAATCATTTGATCAGAAATGAAACTAGAACGGTGGTGCAAGTTTATTGAAGTATTGGGTGTTGTTTTGGAATGAGAAGGTAAGATCAAACTTGTGCGACGTTTTTGTAATTCAGACCTAGAGGCTCGAATTGGGGCTTCATGATTGATACTGACTTGAGATGAGATTGATGGTGTGGGAAAGAGATGTCGAGCTTCAGCCTCAGGGATGGTGATCTTAGGATTACGAATGGATTTAGATATTGAAAGATGGCGAGCTTCAGCCTCAGGGATAGTGATGTCATGATTATGGATGGACATAGATCTTGAGACATGACGAGCTTCAGGAATATTGATCTTGGGACTATGGATTGAGTTGGGTCTCGAAGCAGTTGTAGGCGGGTTACGCAAGATGATGTCAGTTGTAGCTGTAAGGAATTATAATTTGATAGAGATCAACATTAGTGGAAACAGACTGAATCAAAAGGTCCAGAATCATGATAAAAGAGAGATATCTGACTTACAAGGATGAGGATTAGGACTAGGATTCGACTCTTCCGAAAGTTGTTCAATTAATTGAATAGCTTGATTAGAATTTCTTTGGATAGATTCACCTAATTGATTGATAGTACTCAATTTAATCAAAAGGCCATCTTTGAAGATCTGATGTTTTAAATGACTTAAAGAATCAAGTTGAGATCTTAAATAGTTTTCACAACCCATTAATTCTTCTTGAGCTTCGTTAAATTGAACTTGATTTACATATTTTGATTTCTTTAGTTTTGATATTTTGTTCGTTAGGATTAGTTTATCACGAGTGATTGTTTTGATTTGATTTGAGTTTGTTTGGAGTTGGTGTAATGAATTTAAATACGATGATAGTGAATTTAAATGATTTGTTAATGAGAAATTCGAATTTGATAATAAATTAGAAACCTGTTGCGAGATGGCCTGACAAAGAAATCCAGATGTTATCAAATCAAGCCATCGTGTTAGTGAGAAATGGAATTAAGCTCATTGAACTGACCATCAGTTTAGGTTCATTTTGTTGATCGGCTAATGACCATTTTGATAAGAGTTGATTTGAATCTTGAAATGATTCAGACCAAATACGAAAGCTTTTAGAAATCATCCAAAGGGATACCATCATCAATCAGTGCTATGCTCTGTTCAGTTTTATATGATGATTTGAATTGGTATCCAATTTACCTTTTTTGGTTAGATTCTTCAGATTTTATATAAGATTGAAGTAAATCATGAGATTTGCCTTTGAAGGTTGCGGTTGAGTTGGTTAAGACTGAGAAATTCATGATCTTTGATGAAGTGTAAGATTAGGAGAATGGAAGTGGATGGAGAATTGAAATATTTTAAACATTCAAACTGACTTGAGAGCAGGAACAAACTGACCAAGTGATCGAACTCAAATTTACCTTTTTAGGATTCTGTTGACCATTTTACCATTCATCATTCCAGTTCCTTTTCCTTTCTCAATCTCACTCATCATGATATTCTAACCTGCTTTCCATTACCAATCACCAATCCGCTTGACCACGGGAAAGCATGTAGTTCGAAAGGACATCAAACTCTCCATTACAATCTCAATCAGGCTGCACTAAGCCGCAGAGAATCGATGACCATGAAAAATAGTCATTTTGTGAGTATAGTTCCAACTATCAAGTAGCTGGTTCCCTGAAGATTTTCTGATTGGCACTTTGTCATTGAGATCTTTTCTCCGCCGGCGTGAAGGCGTTACCATCGATCTACAATGCTTGAGTGATTTCCCTCGTGAAACTCAAGTGACTTGGCGGAGAATCTTACTCAAGCTTTACACTGTGTTTGTCATGAGTGCATATCAGACGAGTCGCGTCGTCTCACCTGATCAAGAACCCGTGGTCTACTTTCTTGATCTTCGAGATGAAGTACACCAAGACCGGTCAGCTTTGAGACATCCTTCAAGAGTCAAGAATCAGATTGAGGGGTTTGACCATGTGAGATGAAGCTTGGTGTGGGTGATCTTCAAAGTGGTTTGAATTTGCTGAAGGGAAGAGAGGGAATTGGAAATGTCAGGAGTGAAGTTGACCGGACGCGGAGTGTGAGCGGTCAATACGAAGTGATGTCATCTTTCGCCTAGGCCCTAGACTGTAACCTATAAAGAGCTTCGGTGTCGGCTATTGAACTTTGGTTCTCTTTAATGTCATATTGACCTTCGCTTCTCTTCTTTCATCTTACAATCTACATTTCAAGATGCCCAATTGGATAGCTAAACCTCATCTCGTTCTTCCTTTCCTTTTGGTCGTCATACTGAAAGAGGTCTCTTTACTTGATAATGGATTCGTTAGTCCTGCCATGGGTTGGAGTTAGTTGAATTTCACTTTCAAGCTCTGGTTGATTGGTTGGCTAACGGCGATGATTTGGTGTACATAGATACTTGGAACAAATATGGTTGTTCGATAAACGAACAAATAATACTCAAGTTTCGTCAAATCTTCGGTCTTCTTGTCACACATGTTGATGGCCCTTTAAACCCGATTTAACAGGGCGGCTGAGGCGATCAAGAACCATGGACTCGACAAACTGGGCTACAACTGTACGGTCGACACCTTTGCTTGATCTCCTGTGTAACCTTCAAGCGCAAAGATCCTTACACATGTCGCCCTCTTTTGTGTGACATTGGTTCTGGATTGACTCGCGATACCACCGATTGCGATCCGTAGACATCAATGTGCGGCATGCGACTTTCCTACCTACACTTTCTCAAAAATTATGTGATCGATCACTTCAAATTCTGAGGCGTACTTCTATCCATCACAGATCGATGATTGTTGGCAAGCTCCGCAACGTGGCCCTAACAATGTTCCTTTGGCCGATCCTAAAAAGTTTCCAAAAGGGATCAAAGCTTTAGCCGATGAAATCCATGACATGGGATTAAAGGTCGGGTATGTTTATCGACTATATTTTTGACTTTATTTGACGAGTGTAAAGGTTGTGATTTGACGACTTGACTTGAAACCCCCAAAACGCTACTTTCGGTTTCTGTTATGATTTGCGCAGAATCTACTCGGACGCCGGAACGTAAGATCAAATTTACATAACATAATGGTACATCAGTGCCCAGCACTGATAATTCAATTTTTGCTATATAGCTATACGTGTGGCAAACGATACGGATCTTTAGGTTCACAGTTTCTATCTTCAGTAATATCTCCTAGGATCCTTGTTTACCGAGATCATCTTTAGGGCACGAGAAAGTGGATGCCCAGACATATGCAAGTGGTCGTCAATCTCTTTCTTTATCCCCGAATGCTCATCTTAAGTAATATCCATATATTTCTCATAACTCATAAAATCTTTGGCTTTGTAGGCAGACTGGGGTATCGAGTAAGAGATTTTGAAGATTCTACATTTGTTAACCCAGAGCTTATGAGATCTGATCGGTCAATAGTTACCTGAAATACGATAATTGTTATAATGAAGGCTTGTCCGGCACGCCACAAATTTCTGCTACAAGGTACAGAGCCATGCGAGATGCTCTAAACGCAACAGGACGGCCGATCGTATATTCTCTTTGTCAATGGGGTGAGGACGCAGTTTGGAATTGGGGCTGGACTATAGCGTGGGATTCATTTGACTTCCTTCTCACTAAACTAACATTTACACGAAAATGTAGACTGATGACGTGTTTCTGTTCTTGTTTTCCTATATTAGTAATTCCTGGAGAATAAGTGGCGATATTTATGATCATTTTGATCGGCCAGATGATCGATGTCCTTGTAAAGACTCGGTCTCTTATTGCGCACTGGCCGGATTTCAATGTTCTGGTGAGCTTTTACTCTATAACTCATATCACAATGTCCTTTCATGAGTGATCTGACGGTCCATTGCGTCTTACATTGAAATTCCATGTCTTATTGCTGTTCACCCAGCGATGAACATACTGGAAAAGGCAGCGGGAGTAGGACAGAAAGCTGGTTCGGGCGGATGGAATGATTTGGTAAAATAACTCTCCGCCTATCTGACTCCAGATAAGTGTAAACTTGCCATCCAAACCGATACATTTGCAACCATTATGTGATTCTAGGATATGCTCGAGGTCGGCAATGGGGGGATGTCATACGATGAATGTAAGCGAAAACCAATTGTCACAGCAGATTTCAAACAACTAATAAGTTGGCTTATTCCAGATGTTGCACATTTTTCAATGTGGGCATTTGCCAAGTCACCTTTGATCCTTGGAAACGATGTGACTAACATGTGGGTACCGAACATCCAAACCAAAACATTCTGTAAAATTTTTGATAACGTATCTGTTCATGGTTCTTATGTCTGCATAGGTCGAAAGAGACATTATCAATCATCTCTAACAAAGAAATCATTGTGCATTGGTTTTTCTTGTATATACTTGATATGAAATCAGTCCCTGACTTTAATTCTTGATTATATAGGCTTTGAACCAAGATAAGAGCTTTGATTCGGGATACCGAGTATGGAAAATGGAAGATCCAAGGAAATCCTCTGGTAGTATCCAGCTTTGGAAGACTAGTCTGGTGAATGGGTATGTCATTTCACCCTCTTTATGTTCTTCATGTTTGATTTGGCAATCTTCTATGTGGTATCCGTCATGATTTACTAAAAGGGCGCATTTAGGTCCTACGCATTAGCCTTTTTGAATGCCACGCCGAAGAAATTGGATTACATGGTTTCATTGGCTGATTTCTTTTTCGATGATGTGAGCGTCTTCTTGAATACCTTTTCTATGAGACAAACCTGCTCATCAAGTTCGACCACTACCAGTCTTCCAAAATCACAGAAAACTGGAAGATCAAAGATCTTTGGAATGCTAGTCGGACAGTACATGTAAGTGATCAAGATATGATTAGCATAAAAGGACAACATAGAAGTTTTTTTGGATTTACAATGAGTAAGAATAAGGGTGATTTTAAGTGGGGAATCGAATGGGGACAAAAGAAAGAAGTTACAAAGGGTATCTTACTTGAAGATGTTCCTGCTCATGGGGTTAGAGTTTTAAAGCTTGTTAAAGAATCTGCTTCTGGTCAACGTATTGAGCTTTGAAAATTTTCATCAATGCTTTTCTCTTGATTGTCTTGTATTTGATTTGTTTACATATCCTTTGGATCGCGGTGAAATTCAAAATTGTAAAGAAGAAAAAAAGATCTAGTGTGACGCATGTTTATCATGTCAGAACTTGGTTGAAAAACCTGATTAAGAAACTAAATAAGGGATGGCTGGTGGTTTAGATAAATTGATAAAGGTGCTGACCAATATACTGTCCGGAACATCAGAGGGTTTCCAATATCTATCCCCAATGTTAGAAAGAGTAACATCAAATTTAATGGTAGATCATACTCTTGTCCAGATTTTATTTGGGCTAATTTGTGGTCGTCATAGAACAGCAGTGATACCTTATGAGAGAAACACAGAATGCTTGTACCAACAATCTGGTAGCAGTCTTTGTTTCATAATAGACCCTATTCAAAAGTCCACAGAGCTGGTAATATTGGCCAAGTGGCTTCATTTTCCTCAAGTTAAGCATTTGGAGCTCAATCGGGCACATAAAGATCATTAAAAGTCTATCAGGGTGGTGTTGGACTACAAAATCCATTTTTGACTCTTGGATTCAGAAATCTCAATCTGACAAAATATCCAACCAAACCCCTTTTGTGTCTAAATTTAATTCCGAAGATGGTTGAGCCTGAGGTTTGTGTCAAAAATCACATAATTGGTATGAAAGCTGCAGCCTTGAAGGAGGTTTGACTATGGACGCTGATCAGGAAGAGTGGTCCGTTCATTGGAAGTCTTTGAGGCCCTTATGATCAGAATTGTGTGGACATCAATGAACTTACTTTAGGAGCATTTGTACTGACACATAGACAGCAACAACTAACAAGGATGGCTCATATTAAAAAAATCAAGCGTGTCCGGACATTGATCCAAGGCCCCTTTGTCCTTACAGATGCCTCAAACTGACTGCTTAGAGTCTTTGTTCGAGGCAATTGCCACTCAAGGAGACATTTGATTTTGGGAATCCGAGTTATTCCTGGTCACAGTGATATGGGATATTCAACAGGAGAGCTCTTATGTAGAGCAAGTTTATGTTGAATTGAAGGTTTCTTTTCATGACATGTTTTTTACTCGAAGATACAAATATTACCACATTTTCAATTATGAGCTTCATCCACAAAATCCAAGAATACATCTTGCGCACCATCCAAGGTCATTAATTCAGATGGATCACTTATAAGAGCCAATTCAGTTACTATTGAATTCTCATTGCACTTACCAACATCCCATTTCTCTTCTTAACTACGCTGACTGCTTTCGTCCTAGTTTGTTACCTTTTTCTCGTTTTCTTTCTCTCAACAAACACCTGTGTTTCAATGCTCCCAATGCGGCGCATGATAGACGCAAACCTATGTCAGACCGTTAACCTATGTCTAGAAGAATAGCTACTATATAAAGAACTCATGTTTGCGTATCAAGTTGTTTCCTTACTCAAACAATTCGTCTCTTTATCTTGACACCTTCCAACAGGTGATTATTCTTCTATCACTATTACGTGATCTTCAGCCACTACGCGCTCTTTCATATCACTAACTAAGTGATTCCTACCAGGTGATTATTCTTCTATCACTATTACGTGATCTTCAGCCACTACGCGCTCTTTCATATCACTAACTAAGTGATTCCTACCAGTCACCTGCCCATTCCTATCTGATTATTCTTCTATCACTATTACGTGATCTTCAGCCACTACGCGCTCTTTCATATCACTAACTAAGTGATTCCTACCAGGTGAGGATCAGCTACCCCAACCAATATCACCAACGATCACAACAATATCACTCACGTCATGACGAGCCATCAGTCCGCCAACGAAGCCTCTCACATCACTCCCCTGGAGCAAGATTGGCAACGTTGGTCTCCCCTCATGTTAGCCCACTTCATGGAGGGGGACCTAGATGGTATAGTAGATGGCACCGAGCAAGAACCTGACGACGACGCTGCTGCAGCTCTCAAACTCGACTATCATCGTCGACGTAAGAAAGCTGCAGGTTTCATTTCTCGTAAACTTAGTCCTGAAAACAGAGCGTTAGTTATCAATACTTCTAACATGAAGGATCCCAAAGCTATCTGGGATGCCTTAGTGAAACTCTATGCTTCTACGAAAGCTCGTAATCGTGCTCGAATTCTTCGCAAATTTCTCAATCTTAAATGCTCAGATAATTCTCTTGCTTCATTTCTCTCTGAATATCGTAAAATCACCCACGAGATGACTGAAGTTGCGTTCAAAATTGATGATGATATATTAGCTCATATGTTATTATGTAAATTATCTCCACGCTATCACTCAACTAGAGATTTGCTTGCTCATTCTGCTGAAACCGGCGACACTTTGCTGTCGCTTAATCTTGTATTCGAACATCTCCAACAAATTGTCCTTGACTATCAACCCAGTACTGCACCTCCTCCTGCTGCTTTAGTCGCTGAGCGTCGAACTCCCTCCTATCCTCGCTGTCTGAACGGTATTCACAATCCTGCTACTGCTCATTCTGAAGAACGTTGTTATCAAGTCCATCCTGAATTGAAACCAATCCGGAACATCAACAAGTCTACTGATCGCACTTCGGCCAATGCAACCATCAGCGGTACGGTTCTTACTACTTACGTGTTTAATGCTACCCTTACTGGGAAACCTGTTCTTGACTCTGGCGCCTCGCAATCTATGTTCAGCTCTCGACTTTGCTTTACTGATTATAGACCTTGTCAAGCTGCCATCCACGTCGCCAACGGACAACAGATCAACGCCATCGGAACCGGAACCGTGTCAGGAACTCACAACGGAAAACTCGTTTCTTTCACGGATTGCCTCCATGTACCTCAACTGTCAACTAATCTCGTTAGCATGGTGGCCCTGGTTCGAAAAGGCTGCACGTTCAACTTTGCTCCGGACTCTAGTTTCAATGTGGTTGTTGGCTCTGATGTGGTTCTTACTGGAGATACCAAGAGTGGAGTTATGGAAGTTAACTTCGATATGGGCAAGTCAACTTCACTTTCACTCATTGCATCACCTCAAGTTAATCCAGTCACTCTTCACAGGCGCCTAGGCCATCCTGGTCAAATCCCTTTGGAGAAAGCGTTTCCTGGAGCTATCCTTCCTGACTCTTGCGAACCTTGTATCTTATCCAAACATCACCGCCTACCCTTTAAAAATCATCTTCCCATTGCTTGTGATCGCTTGTCTGTGTTATTTAGTGATCTAAGTGGTGTAATTTCTCCTCCTTCTCTCGGTGGCGGTAGATACTATTTTAAAATCACAGATCAAAAATCCAATTTCAAATTTGTTTATATCTTGAAAACCAAATGTGAAACCTTTTCTTATTTTGTGCAATTCAAAGCTTTCGTTGAAAATCAAACCAATCTTAAAATCAAGACACTCGTGAATGATAATGGTGGAGAATACACCTCAAAACAATTTTCTGATTTTATTAAGCATGAAGGTATAAAAATGGATTTTACTGCTCCATATACCCCTCAACAAAACTCCATCTCTGAGCGAGGTAATCGCACAACTACTGAAAAAGCAAGAGCATTACTTAAACAATCCCATCTACCTCTTGTTTTCTGGGCTGAAGCCGTGTCGACTTCAGTTTATCTCGAAAATCTCACACCTTTTGCTCGAGATAACTTCATCACTCCTTTTGAAAACTGGTATGGTAAAGCTCCCTCTTACGCTCATTTACGAGTATTTGGATGTCTTGCGTATGTTCACGTTGGTAAGGAACGTCGAACGAGCAAATTCTCTGACGTCGCGAAGAAAGGTGTGCTACTTGGTTATCAAGGATCAATGCACAATTACCGAGTTTACCGGCTCGATGATCATAGAGTTGTCTACAGTCATGATGTAGTTTTTAACGAAGATGTGTTTCCTTTTTCTGATCCTGCTGTCTTAGAAGCCTTCAACAAGAAATTTGGCAATTCAGACAATCATTTCATCGAAGACATCAACACTGACTTTGATTTTGAAAGTCCATTGATTCACTCACCGATTCACCCTCTCACTGAAGATGAGAACTTACTCATCTCCAATTCTACTGCTGAAAACCCTGTCTCTTCGTCTCAATCATCTAATTCACTCACTCAAAATGAACGACAATCTGATCGAAGAGAAGATGAGCCTCAACCTGAAGAATCAACTCCTGATGAAGAACCGCAAATTGAAGAACCAAGAGTTGAAGAAGAACCTCAAACTGACTCTCAGAACTCTGGTCGACCTTCATATTCATTTGTGCCTTCAACTGTACCGGCTCCCAAAGCCATAACTAGTTCCATCGACGCTTCCAATATCATCACTACAAAACGTCGTGCTCATCTCGCTAACACTCTAACTCCTGAACCTCATTCGTACCGTGAAGCTGTAACTCGCCCTGATTCTTCAAGCTGGAAAGCCGCCATTGAGAAAGAACTTAATAATTTAATCGACATGGGTGTGTTCACCGAAATGGAATTGCCAGAGGGAGCTCATGCTTTAGGAACGACGTGGGCATTTCGACTCAAAACTGACGAAAACAATGCCATCATCAAACACAAGGCGAGGCTCTGTGCTCAAGGATTCTCGCAAATTCCAGGTCTTGACTACAATGAAACGTATGCTCCTACTGGACGAGCAGCTAGTATGAGAATGGCTCTCAGTATCTGTGGGATTGATGATTTGGAAGTACGACTCATGGACGCGGTAGGAGCCTTTCTCAATGGTATCCCACCTGAAGTTCTTTACATCAAAATACCCCAAGGTTACACTCCCAAACTGAAAGGAAAGAACATCGTCTTACTCTTAAACAGATCTTTGTATGGGCTTAAACAGTCGCCTCGCTGTTGGTACATTATGGTTAAATCTTTCTTCCTCTCTATCAAATTTTCTCCTTCTAAATCAGACCCCTGTCTATTCATTTCCGATGATCCCTCCTGGCGGTGCTTTGTCCACGTACATGTCGATGACATGCTCGTTATGGGTAAGAACACAGCTCGGTTCTCTCAGCTCATTCAAACTTGTTTTAAAATGGAAGATCTCGGAGACTGCTCCTTCTATTTAGGCATGCGACTAGAGCGGGATCGAGTAGCTAGAACCATCACTCTTACACAAGATAAGTATATTCTCGGCATGCTTGAGGAGTATGGAATGCAAGATTGTCACCCCGTCACCACTCCGATGATACCTGGCACTTATCTCAAGCCTGCTACAGACGAAGAGCATCAACAATTCTTGGACACTGGCATCAACTATAACCGAGCTGTAGGTCTACTCAATTATCTTGTGCTCTGTACACGACCAGATCTAGCCTTCACCTCTAGTCAACTTGCTCAACACTTGAAAAAGCCGGGGCCCGAGCATTGGGCAGCCTTCAAGCGTGTATTAAGGTATCTTCAGGGTACGTATCAGGATGGTCTTGTGTTAGGTGGAGGAACTACGGAATTACAAGTTTACGCCGATTCAGATTATGCTGGTTGTCCAACGACACATCGATCAACGTCAGGATACATCTCTAAAGTAGGTAGTGGTTGTGTTAGCTGGCGGTCTCGAAAGCAACCATCTGTGTCAACTTCTTCGACTGAAGCCGAGTATCGCGCTGCTTACGAAGCTGCTCAAGAAACAGTGTTTTTACGAAGAATTTTAAATGATTTGGGAGCTCCTCAAGATGGTGGTACTAGATTTTTATGTGATAATCAGAGCTCACTAGCATTGCAGAAGAATCCTTTGTTCAAAGACCGGTCAAAACACTTTCAAGTTCATCTACACTGGATCAGAGAGCAAGTGGATGCAAATGTCATCATACCAACTTACATTCCCACAAAAGAAATGTTAGCCGATGTATGCACCAAAGCGCTTCCTCGACCTCAACATGAATACATTACAAAGCTTATCAGATCATAGGATGTTGAAATTGAGGGGGGGTATTGAATTCTCATTGCACTTACCAACATCCCATTTCTCTTCTTAACTACGCTGACTGCTTTCGTCCTAGTTTGTTACCTTTTTCTCGTTTTCTTTCTCTCAACAAACACCTGTGTTTCAATGCTCCCAATGCGGCGCATGATAGACGCAAACCTATGTCAGACCGTTAACCTATGTCTAGAAGAATAGCTACTATATAAAGAACTCATGTTTGCGTATCAAGTTGTTTCCTTACTCAAACAATTCGTCTCTTTATCTTGACACCTTCCAACAGGTGATTATTCTTCTATCACTATTACGTGATCTTCAGCCACTACGCGCTCTTTCATATCACTAACTAAGTGATTCCTACCAGGTCTGATTGTTGTTTCTGTTACTTTTTCATTACTTACTCATGTTGCTCATTATGGGAATAATACTCAAACAATTCGTCTCTTTATCTTGACACCTTCCAACAGGTGATTATTCTTCTATCACTATTACGTGATCTTCAGCCACTACGCGCTCTTTCATATCACTAACTAAGTGATTCCTACCAGTCACCTGCCCATTCCTATCTCATTAGTTACAAATCAAGAATTACTACCAGGCCATTTTCCATACCCTCTGAGCTTCTATGTCCGTGTTGTGTGATAATGTTTTCTTGTGTAGTTTTTTCTAGCGTATTTTTTCAGAAATTAAGTGGTTGGATCAGGAGTTTTGGTTGTATTTCCACTGCCAGAAATATCAACACATCTGGGTGTCTTCTTATCTTTACATTGATGCTTTTCGGGAAAGGGGAACTTTCTATTGTCATCAGGACACCTAGCCTGGTTTCCAATATAATCGACACCCATGCAAGTCAATTCCACCTCTTTGCCTCCACAAGTCGCCTTTGTAAAATTTTCGCCTTCGCATCCCAATTGCCGTTTGGTACCCTGGTTAGCGTCACAACACCTGATGAACTTGCCAATTGGCTCTTGTACCACTGGTAAATCTTGAATGGTATTCGGTCCTGAAATATCTACGCATCTAGGAGTTTTGGTGCCTTCACATCGACTTTTGTCTGGAAAGGCGAACTTTCTCGTGTCATTGGGACACTTGGCCTGATTACCGACAAAATCGACTCCTAGGCAAGTAAGTTCAACATTTTTACCTTGACAGTTTGCAACATGAAAATTATCGCCGACACATCCTATTTGTCTCTTCGTTCCCTGGTTAGCGTCACAACACCTGATGAACTTTCCAATCGGTTCTTGAACAACTGGTAAATCTTTGATGGTATTTGGTCCCGAGATATCTACGCATCTTGGAGTTTTGGTGCCTTCACAACGACTCTTGTCTGGGAAGGCATACTGTCTCGTGTCGTTGGGACACTTTGCCTGATTACCGAGAAAATCAACTTTCTCGCAAGTAAGTTCAACATTTTTCCCCAAACAGTTTGCCACATGAAAATTATCGCCAACACATCCCAACTGCTGTTCTGGGCCCTTATTAGCGTCACAACACCTGATGAATTTTCCGATTGAAATCACTTGATAGACTAGCCCTGATAGAGTCAAGCACATCAGAAGCAATGTCGTACGACTTTCCATCATCTATAGAAAAAGTAACGACATCTCTTAGTTATTGAAATGTGTTTTGCAAGATGATGAAATTCATTTACCATTTTATCTTTGGTGTGTTGGGTCTATAATTCGTCCAATGATGCCACAAGGGCCGTGTGCAGGCTTTGCTTGGTTTCCTAAACTTTGCCAGAAAGATTTGCTCAGTATACAGCCTTTGTCGAAAAGTTACAATCACAAAGAACTCACTTGTGTTCTTACGATGAAGTTGACTGAAAGAACCGGACTCTCAATGATAGTTATACTCTCAACCAGCGAGTTAGCTAGGGAAAATTGACCGATCACAAGGATTGGTTGATTAATCAGAAACTTTCAATAAGATTTTCAGGATGCTATTATGGTATGGTATGAAGATATCAAAAGAATTACGTGCGATAAGTCGAAATGTTCTATAAAGGAAACAAAGAATATCAAGTTCTTAGTCATCACAATGCCTGATCTGCTCTTGAATCACAAACCTGCGAAGCATATCAAGTTGATTAGCAACCGGGATGTCTAGCAATCGGGCGGTGTAGAACTGGTGCTACCTCTCATATCAATTGGGCAGGCGAAACTCGGCAACAGTCTCTGCAATGAACTTGGCTTTTCAGATACCGAGACTTTCTCCAAGCACAGTAGGTAGACTTGACTCTCAAAACTCAATTGGCAGTCGACAACCCACTTCCGTAAGCAAAAGTCAAGAAAGCAAGAATTAATAAAACGAAGTCGGAGACAGTCAAACTTCCTCCATGACGTAGTTTCGTTTATAAGTTCCGAAGCTGTGCTGCGCGACTCGCGACTGCAGTCAGTTCTGTGAAACAGAGATTCCTCGGCATCTCTTCAACCTTGCAACCCAAGGAGTTTCTACTCGACTGATCAGGGCCTTGCGGGTTTATGTTATCAGGTTTTTTTTTCTCAGCAGCAGTCATGTAAAAATTCAAACTTCAGAGTTGTAGTGAGTTTTATTAATCAAGAGGTTATGTGTAAACAATATCAATTCTTCAACAACCTGAATCAAGGTAGTGCTACATACTTATCATGCTGATCCAACGTGGCACTGACTCAGTTCTGGACGTCGGACGCCGTCCTGCCAGCACCTTGATACCCCCCCGGCAAAGAGCAGACAGCGTCAGCTCAATTCTATCTACCTGCATCAGGTTCACATTGGAATTGCAGATATAAAATCGGGACAGCAGGTAGTGTTCTTCATATACCAACAACAAGTACAATTTGCACAGCTTTAACATAGCACATGTTCGACATCATGACGAGTCTATCGAATCAGCAGGGTGGTTCACGCGTTCAAAGTAAAACGTAAAATCATGCTACATGTCTGATCGCCATCTCAGGTAGATGCGTATATCAAAATCTTACAAAACTACTCTCAGTCATGCTCAAGTTATACAGTCTTTTCAATAGCTTCCAAAATCTTCCATACACCCCAAGCACCCGCATCAGGCACCTCTGAATCCTTCACCTTACTCCGATCAACATATGCTGCTCGACCAGCTTTGGCATCAAGATACATTGTTGCCTCTGCTGATCCTTTGGCCGCTTCGACTGCACTCGAAAAATCTGTTGGAGTGAGAGTCAAGGTCAAGATGAAAGCTGAGAGTGGGTCGATCAGTGTACGTGATGGAGATCGAGCTCGTGTGTATTTGTAGAGGGTCGTTAAAGCTTGCTATTGAAGTTTAGGGAGAGAGCAAAACGTCAATTCCGCGGTACTTTTCATCAAAGTAGAATGGCAACGCCTACATCCAGTCCTTTTGCCCATGTATTAGCGTCTACCATGCATTTCTGACCTTCTTCCTGTACATTAGCTTTGATACCTAGAACACAACTATCTATCAACATTGGAGACATGGAAGAAGACATGTAACACAGTGCTTACCAACTGCCAATGCGTTGAAAAAGATACTGTATGACGGATATGACAAATCTCAATCAGCGGCTTTTTGTCAAACACTCTTGCACAAGTTCCAAGGTGCTTACCTGTAGAGACCGCCTGAGGTCCCGCCCATTTTCTCATTGACCACTTCTGAGATCTGAAGCAAATCTTTCGGCACATCCGATCCATTGATCCTACCGTCCTGAATGAGTGCCAAGACTCCGGTCGCACCTGCTTTTAAGGTATATCCACAATCTCCATCACCAGCTATAGTATCATACTTGGTGATCTCCGGAGTGGCCGCAATCAATGCTTCACAGGCTGCTTTGATTGCATTGACAAATAGCTTAGGATCCTGGGCTGTGATTGGAAGTCTCTTTGTCAGCCATGTAAAATGTATCGGGAATTGTTTTGGTGCGAGGTGAAGAGGACATCCAGGACACTGAACTTGTAGCTATCTTTTCATCTTTTTCAGTTTCTGTGTTAGCATTTTCACTCGCCTCTCGCGTAGCCGGGATTTTTTTATCCAACAAAACCTCAGTGTTGGGATCACCTTTGAAGCAGGTAGGCCAGCCCAAGCAAGTTGTTGGTGCATCCAGAAGGTTGACTATGTCATCGCCGTTGAATTTGAAAGCCTCTTCATCCTGGCAATCGATAGTGACATTCTCATTTTTTGTAGGAAGAAGAACTACAGAGATCGAGAAGCCTGGCATGTTCAGGGAGGTCATCAAGGTACCGGCAACCACACTGAACAAATGATGTCGATATCAGATGAGTGAAACTGGATTCTGGTAATTGTAGTGAACATTTTCAAAATTACTCACCGGACAACGGTTATGCCTTTGTTCATAAGCCACGAAGCTGCGCATTTGGTGACTGCAGCCATCTCTAATTGCGACAAAGATCCCAAATTATTCACGAGCAATATGACCTGGTCTGCCTGACCTTTTGTATCAGATTGATCTTTGAAAGGAACAAATGACCGATCGGAATCTTTACTCGAGGTGATGATTTCGAGGATCTGCGAAGTCAAGTCGCTCAAGTTACTTAATTTCTGACGTCGGTACCCTGGCTCGTTCTATCCAAAAAAAAATTCGACTCTTTGTCAATCGAACATTCGAAAATCCATATCATTGAATTCTTGCATACGTGTATACCCATCCCAAGTTCTACTTCGTCGACTCCGAGCTCATTGAGTCCAGTATTTTTTTCTGACCCAGGTATGTGGCAATGATCGAGTCCTACACCCATGGTAGCACATCTATCGGCAATATATTGAGCCATGGCGTGTACCTGAGAGAGAGATGCCCTATTGCACCCTAAAGATTAGCTCGAGCTAATGTAGATGTTGGCCCATGACGAGAAATCAGTCCAGACTCACCCCTGGGAGGCGAGTGCCCCAGCAATCTTATAAACCAACACGGTACCTGCCAGTCCTCTACGGCCTGTGAGCTTGCCTTGTTCCCTACCGACAGAGACGTCTGGTTGAAGATCAAGTCAGCCTTGATTGCTCTACCGGATCGATTAGTTTAGCCAATGTCCCACCATCACCAACGATCACCATCTTGACATTCTTTCGATCGCGCTGAGCAAGCCAGCGTTCTTTGGCGATGCCAAAATTTAAAACCTATGGCAATCCAGATTTAAAAATTCAAGACTATCATCCAAGTGCGGTGATATCGGATGTTCGTAGACCAAACTGACATCTCCGGTGTAGTTCTTCACTACCATCAATGTGCTTTCATTATATCGGAAACACAGGGGCATGAACAGTATTTGAGCTTTTGTTCTCAGTTTAAAAATCCATCAAGGCAAATGGGACCGTACCCTTTCCCATCCTCTAGCTTCTCAAGAGCTGCGGTAACCTGTCGGCTATTGGGTGAAGCAAAGATATTACCACATACGGCGGCGGATAGCATCCTACACATGCCAAATGACGAAATTCAATGCGATTATCAGGGTTTGTAGGTCATTTGTATTGGATGCAAAATGCTGACCCTCCTCCTACGTAGGAAGCATGACTGGGTTCATGTCCAGAACCACCTCCACAGAGTACGTGAACATTTGTTTTTGAAATCTGCTTGACACTAACAACTGAACCATAGGGTCAGTTCGACGTCGAATCCCCTCGAGTCTCGATCGAGCCAAAAGTCCATAGATAAGTACCCTTGTTCTTCGTGTCCAGTGCCAAATCGGGGTTTAGATAAACCAGTCCTTTGAGTGACTCGGAGACCAATTCTTCAGGATCCTTGACGAGACATTTGCCTGTGGTGTATGCATTCGGGGCATCATCCAGTATATTGTCAGGCCATGTATCTGGTATTTAAAAGGCTTGAGTATCTAGAAAGGTAAAACAAACTGAATGGTGACATTGTAAGAATTTAGTTGAGGAAACTTGATCGATCCGTTGGTCATGAGAAGGAGTTCAGAAGCTGTTGGTTTATCTTTCACTCATTCAATGAGAATTTACACAGGACGGTCAACAGGTTCCGTTAGAAGCATATACTTCTATCGAATGCTGAGCTTAGTCTTCCCTTTTGAAGCTCCGAATCAGATGCAAGGATAATCAAAAATCAAATATTCAACATCCAACCTGATTCGATGACAACGCTACAAACACCACAACATATTCTCTGGGTTCGCTTTTCTGTTTTGGTGACGCCAGATGCTCAAAATCTGGCCAGACTCCTTCATGCAAAGGATGAATTCCGATCGGAGAATGGCCTTCGACTGGCCGGTAGACGGCCTACCGTCGCCAACCACGTTAGGCCGTCTGCTTGCCAGTATCACAAATTCACTTCCCACCAATCAACTCCACCTTTGCGCTTTAAACTGCAAAAACCGTCCATTATCATGAATTTTCCCACCTCTGAAGAGCCACCACCATGTAAGTCACACACTGAGGATCTCTTATAGACACGCTGCTCATCAATCAATAAATCAATACACAGATATTACCCAAATATCTCAGCTCCCCATCAGATATCAATGTGATGTGTGCCCTCACAGCCGAAGCATGAAATTCTATGCAGATCATGTTGCATCACCAGCCCACTCTTCAGCAGTTCAGCGATTCTTGACCAGACAAGCTGCGGACGGAGCTGCCCGTCAACAATTTCAGCAAGAACTTCAGAGAGATAGATCCCCAACACCACCGGGGGCCAACCTGGACCTGAACCATTTCTTTGAAGACCTTGACGATGATTCCAACCCACCTTCAATTCCACCATCACCACTGACTTTCCTCCGATCCCTCAGGGACTCAGACCCCCATGGCCTTGGCGGTGGATCCGATTCAGATGACTCAGACATGCACCTTGACTTTGATAGGCTTCGTGAAGCAATTCGTGTACTGTCGACTGAAGACTTTGATGACGAAGCAGAAGAAGAAGACCAGGATGCAGACGCACTTGCAAGAGATCTGGCTGGTGTCAGAGCTGAAGAGGCTGAAGCTTGGTATCCCTTCAAAAAGAAAGAGGTCAGATGATTGACTTCACTAACCATTTGCTTCACTAGATACTCATTCTTTTTGTTCACTTTTGGGTTTATATGGTGTCAGCATGTTGTTGCTTTGCTCATGATAGGATCAAACAGGAACCTCCTCTCACGGACACAATACCAGCGGATACGTTCCATTCTTCGTATCTGTGAAGTCAGACTTCCTGAATGGGGAACACTGCGGGAACTTGTCAAAAGAATGAAACGCAAGCTGGGTCTGAATATACGTGAACGGACCAGTCCTCATGGAAATCCACTGTTTGGATTGGATGTCAAGACTATCATAAGTAATGTGAGCCCTCTCCCTTCAAATCCCTTAGTCTCAATGAAAGTTAACAGTGCTTTGTTTGAAGGAGTTGGCCAACCCCTTAGTCAGCCCACATTTGGTTTATGTTCCCGAGCTCACCTTGGATGGGGCTATCAACCGTCTATCTCAGTGTGAAAAGTGGCGAGAAGATTATCCACCAGATCTACGTGTTCAAATGATATCATCAAACAAAACCCACTACTACATCTTTGAGCCAGTCCAACTACTTACTCAGCAGCTTGTAGTCCCAGTTTTCTTCTTTCAACAAAACAATTTACTCATGGCTAGGTGTTTACCTGCGGTCGTGAAACCGGACCCTCATCACCCAACAAATCTCAAAGTCATCATTCCAGAAGACGCTGCTTTCGACTCAGATATGCTATTCACCATTCCTTGCAAAGACTTCTGGCGAACTTTTTCCCATATTGAAGTTGAAAATGGGGTTCTCCTCAAAAACATCTGTGACAATCATATGTATCGTAAGTTATGGTTCAAGTTCCTGGTATTCCAATTTGCCGTACTCATTTGTTGGACAGATTCTGAACATGCCACAGAGCCATGTAATCCTATTGAGAACCCGTGGAGAAGGAAGGCTAAAGGAAAAGTTATTCGGCATGTCCCTCTAGCTCTATATTCGGACGACACATCAGGAAATGTCTCTAAAAAGTGGAACAAACACATGAGTATCTACTTCACTCTGGCAGGACTACCTCCCAATCTAACAAATCAAGAATTCAATATCCATTTCCTGGCCACCTCCAATTGTGCAACAGCCCTAGAGCTATTTGATCAGGTTGTTGATGATCTTAAGTGAGTTTTGGATGACTTATTGATATATTTATTTGCTGTTAACCTGTGCTTACTCCCTGTAGTGATTATGGAACCAATGGATTCTTTGCATATGATCACACCCTTGGTGATGATGTGATGGTAATGGCGGTGTCTCTTTTTCACCTTGGGGACTCACCAATGCATGCAGAGATCTCAAATACTCTCAACCCAGCAAATACCCTTACTCCTTGCCGCATGTGCGATCTACACGTGTCAAAGCAGGCCGACAAACAATCAGAGAATTTTGTAAGAGATTTTCTGGGCCTGGATGAAGATGGGGAGAAGGTAGGACTTCCAATTGTCCTGTTGGACATAGTTCTTTCTCTGAAAGTTAAACTTCTATCTACAGTGTCTATTACCTGGCCGCGACTGGAATCAGACCCGACGCTGGACAAACGAAATGTGGAGCACAGCACAAAAGCGCAACACCAAGACTCGAGTCGAAGAAATGGGACGCGATTTTGGAGTCCGAGATCAAATGAATGAATTCTTTCAGAAAAAGGTTCAAGTGGCTCATGAGTCTATGCCACCGTGTGAAGTGAAAAACTCTGTCAAGATGTCAATGCTCAACATGGGGAACATATTTTCAATCCCATGTTGAGACTCAAAGGTGAGTGCTGTAATCAATTTGATTTGATTGGGGCTCAGCTGACACATCATACACTGACTGTATAGGGTTTGATGGTCACCGAGATACTCCAGTTGAGGTTCTCCATGTCGTATTGTTGGGTATCACAAAGAATCTTTTTCGTGACACAATGAAAGACCTTGGAAATATTAAATCCGGCTCCAAAAATTACAATGATCTTTCCGGTAGATGGAGAGCTTTCAACACCAAAGGCTTGCATATTCCACCAATTCAACCAAACACACTGATCACCTTTTATCAGAGCCTTGTGGGTAAGGAATTCCGGACAGTGTTGCAGACTGTTCCATTTGTCCTGTTTGAACACCTTAGCGAAGAAAAAAGGGAAATGTGGTCATCCCTATGCGTTCTGAGCTCATATATTTTTCAGACCGACATACCTAACATGGACACCTACCTAGCTGAACTGGACATTCAAATATCAAGATTTCTGAAAAACCTTGTGTCACTCAATGCTCGCTGGGTAAACAAACCCAAATTTCACATGCTTGTTCACCTGCAAGATTCAATTCGAAGGTTTGGACCGGCTTGCCTTTTTGCAACTGAAAAACTTGAATCATTCAATGGGGTCACTCGGCACGCTTCTGTCCATTCAAACCATCAAAGCCCCGGCCAAGACATAGCAAACACCTCAAACACTCAGCAGATGATGAGAGTTTTTGTCTCTGCAGCTTCCTTCTTTGACCAAGATCTACAATCTCGTGTTTTTGGTGGCCCTCTTTTGACAGGATTATTATCTTCAGTACCTGAGCTGTACCAGGCCATGGGTTTGGACCGCTCTTTGGGCTCAATCTCAACGTACGCAATTGGAAGTAAGTATCAGTCCTTACTTTGTCTCCTTATTTACCGCGGGTTGCTAACTTCAATTTGCAGCATTGTGTGACTCCCAAACAGAACCACCGGCTTGCATCCCTTCCCATGTTGACCGATCTTCTTTGAAAGAATATCAAAGCATCAAGTTGATAGGACATCAAAAGGCTGAGAAAAATGACTTTGTCCTGGTCAGTAATGTTCACTTACTTAGTATGTTAGTCCATGAAAGTCATGAACAATTTGGGTTGCAGGTGAAGTCACCACGTGGGATTGGCCAAATACAATCCATATGGAAGAAAGAAGGTGTTGCCAATGAGAAGACTCATCTGGTTCTCAAAGTCTGTCAAAAGGGTGGAATGAACACATTTTATGGGATGCGGGAGGTCATTCTGACAGAACAAATAGTTCTCACTCGAGTCAAAGTCAGTATCTGTCCCTAATCAGTGACCATTGTGTCCCTATTGATCATTTCTTCCTTATGTGACTACCAGGACATTGAGTGTGTGCTCAACATTCAACACAACTGTCATGCTTCTAAATGTGAACTGGCTAAAAACCACCTCAAAAAAATTGAGCGCAGGGTATCCACAATCGGCCAATGGGGGGTGGAACATGTACCTTCTCACTCTTTCATTCTCAATGCAGCATCTCATTACCATGGGCACCTTCATCGCCAGCTGTCAGACTTGCAACAGTCCGCAGTGGCACCTGAAGAGTGGAACCAGGCAATCCAGCAAGGCCTGAATCATTGGAAAGCGGAACCACGTCCAGCCAAAAAAGGGAGAAACACCACACAGGATGGAGCAAATTGAGAGGTGGCAAATGAATTGGCAAAGGCAGCGGTGGTAGAGCATGTAAGATGTTGTTCTTTCCAAATACTTAAATATGATTTCTAAATTGCATGGTGGTGAGGAGAGAGTCATGCCAAAGGCAGCCATGGTAGAGCATGTAAAATTTTGTTCTTTCCAAATACTTAAATATGATATCTAAATTCCAGTCCCAAAATTCCCATGTGCAAAGCCCACAAGGACACACGCGCACCAATTGTTCCACACAGCAAAACCACGGTCATAATGGGTATAAAGGTTCCTGTGAAATCCATACAAAGTTAGTTTCAATTAACAAAAGAAAAGTTTGAGCTTACACTCAAGATTGTAGTACCAACCAAGCCACATGATGGCTTCATGGGCATCAGTTGCTAAACCAAGGACCTGCCGCGCCTCTCGATGAACCGTGGCGCGAATCATTGCCAGGAGGACTTGGTCAAAAACTAAATCAAATAGCGAGGTGAATTCTTGGGGGGGTTCTACAAAGTAATCTTCTTTTCGCGCCAACTCCCATATCTTATCGTTAAGTACGAAAAACCAATCTTCGTAATTCCGAGCGTTTTTGGCCAGGCGAGTGGTTAAGCTGGCGTAGTAAGTCATCTCGTTGTGATCCAAAAGGTCCAGTATGGGTTCCAGTTTTGAAAGATCATGACCTAACAAATCCGCTGCTTCGATTAAATCCCATGTCTCCTTTGAAATGTGAGGGGTTTCAATTTTCACCGGCGCTTTCAACCACATTTTGATTCTGTCAAAGGTGGATCAGATGATGTGTTTTGAGTGATCAAAGTTCTTGTGTGTGTGTGGCTCGCTCAAGGTATCATCAGAGCAACCCCTTTTTATACCGGAAGCCATTGATGTGACTTCCGGCAAGAGGAAGTTAATCCTGAGCTTATTGATTGCCAACCAGGCAATCAATGCCCGATATCGCTTGCAGATCTGGTTTGAGGTTGATAGCTCTTTAATTTAACACACATTTAAAGTCGCGCCAACAACATCAAACACGAATTGAGAGATGTGAATGGATGGTTGGAAACAAAATTTCCTTCGAAATCGTTCGTTCGAAGGTTTTCATCGTGTCAAGATCTGGGCCACCATGACATCAGATCTGTTAGGTTTTGAATATCCAACTCCCCCCTGGCCTCCTAATGAGGGAAATTAAAGAGGTCGCGAGCTCTTCCACCCAGTTTCAGCATATCGGCTCAACTCGTTTTGGTACGTCGCAGCTTTCTTTAGGACATTCATAACATGAATTTCCGTAAGTTCAATTCATCTGGCCATTGTCATTCTTTCACATACTCACAAAAAGGATCAGGAGATCCATTTGCCTCACGCCGTGGTCCAAACCTTTCTGCTCAGTCCCCAATTCATGGCTTTAACAACCATGAATCTTTGGGTCAGTAGGATTTCTACGAGGTAACCCAATCAATCTGAACGTGAAGCTGATTTTCATCCATGTAGGGGAATACCCACGAGGATTCAATCAGCGCACCCCGATGGCCAGCGACCCAGCCAGATCGCTTGCCCCAAATTCTGGTCGACGACGCGATGACCGTTCGCTTTCGCCACCAGGGCTGCCCTCCGGTGGGAGCTGGAAGGATCGCCAACGCACCTCTGCCCATCCACAGGAAGCACCGCCAACCGCGAGCTCAGATGGACGTGGTGGAACTGAAACTTTGGCATCTTTATATCGCTGCCCAATGTCCGCCCCAACCGCCGATGTATTTCGCTCGTTGGCCGATCAGTGTGCGTTAGATGGAGACTTTCGCGCATACGCAATGGCTCAAGCCGAGGTCAGACTCTCTTTCAGCTCGTTCATTACCCCAGGGGAACACTCACTTCGCCTGTATGCAGGTTTTTGGTGAAACGAATCGACATTTGGCGGTCGCCACGACTCAAAGCTTGCTGCTCAAGGAGGTTTCGATTCTCAATGGCAAGATCGATGCCCTTACCAACGGCCTCGAAGCGCTGACCACTGTCGTGAGAGACCTGGGAAGTACACCAGCCCAAGTGCCACCCCAACAGGCAACAGCACAACCATCAGCCACTATCACCAATCACCCCAACCCAGTTATAAAGTGGGTAGCGAGTGCCGAGCTTGTAGTAAGTCATCGATACCAGTATTCGAGGCCAAATACTGGCACCCAACTTACATAGATGTTCCTAGGACATCTTGAACCCATTGGCTTTGAAGATCATGTTCTCTCCTCAGGTCACTGCTTATACAGCAATCGAAAACAAGCAGGAGGGGTATCTTCCCCACTCGTTGTTTAACACGATCAAGGTAAGGAGATCACTTAATCACATCTCATCTTGTCTTGCTGACAAGCTTTGATTCTATGACCTTACGCGACTTTAGCAAAAAGTGGGCAAGGAGGGTGCGGTGTTTGCCGCCAAGCACCTTCCTCCCAAACACCAGGGAGTCGAATCCGCCACCGACTCAGCAAACTATACCACGGCCATTAGAAACGCGGGCAAACACGCGCGCGAGAAGGTTCACAACGTGGTCAGTTTGGGTTGGTCGCTTCACTGAGATAGATACGCTTTACTCACGCCCCATATGACCAGCTCCTGGTCGGTATCCACGACGCGAAAACCCGAGAGGAGGTTGATATCCCTGTACCTAGCTTCAAGAACCTCGTTCAACGAGTAAGTTGGCACGGTGAATTCATTATCAAACGTTTGTCATCATGTTTGATAACAAATTCATATTTCTAGATGGCTTTGAGATGTGATACTGCTGGGGACAATGTGCAAGTGGAGGACGTCTGGCGTGCCACAGACAATTTGACCAGAGCTCGCTTAGCCTACCTTGTGAGTAAATCATTGGTACACTTTCATGTTTTAGGTTCACGTTCTCAATTTCTTCCTTTTATCTGATCAGCGTCGAGAGGCGGCACGTTTGGTGCTTAAAGGTGGCAAAGGGAGTGAATCCATATGGGCCGTTATCGATAAACAACTTGCGAAGTTGCGATTGGCAAACAACAACGCCTATGAGACAGCGTAAGTAAACTTTGAGTATCGTATTGCTCAACGTGCTTAGTCGGTCACTTACATACTTTCGAAAAACAGTTTCTTTCAAATTATACACGATGAGGATTTAGAGTATTTTGACGGGAAAACTTGGTTCAAGCAATTGAAAGAGCGCGGAGTCAAGCTACATTTACCGTCGGAACAGGCTATCAGGGCGCGGATGCCTGGAGGTGGGCCTGAGGTCCAACCGGAATCATCAAACGCATCCTCTCAGGATGCAGCAAATGTCTAGACCTATAATTTACATTTTAATCAATTGTTCTCATTCTTATGCTTTGAGTTGATCTGTGGGTAATCAATCGGATTCTGTTCGCGCTACTATGATGAATCTCTGGTATCGGTGGGAGACCAAAAACCACGAGTATGAGATTTCTGCTGAGCTGAGCTGAGCCTGTTCCACCCCGCCCGGTTGGCAACGCTGAAAAGCCCGGATGATGAATTGACCATCGGACCGCTCGGGCCATAGCGGAATATGACGGTTGCAGGGCCGATTGTAGATCGCCCGAAGATGCATACAAGCCAGCTTGCGACCTGGCTGGATGTCGCCTCGTCGACGCCTACCGTGAGAGCCATCTGCAGACGGCCAGCCGTTGCAGAGGGGCAGGCCACCTGCAGACGGCCTGGAAAGACGGCCTGAAGGCGGGCGAGACCCATCTGTGGTGTAGGGGGTCAAAACGCAAAAAAACGCTCCAACGGAGCTCGCACAATCGGGGGTGAGACGTCGGGGGCCTCCAGATTTCCATCCGGACCCCCCACATCTGCGAGGTCTATAGGGGCTCCCAATATCACGTGCCACTGCTTCCACGTGACCGATATAGTCACGTCTCAAACCGCACTCGAAACAAGATGATATGGTACAAGCATACCATATCACTCAATCGAGTTCTGGCCCCTGACTTCAAGTGCACCGCTGTGGACACCTGTTTTTTTGACCCCCTACATCCACAAAATCAGGATCGGGGGTCTGTTCCAGGGCTCGCAAAGTAGGTGGACCGTTGTGGATGCTCTAAGTCTTCCCTTTTGAAGCTCCGAATCAGATGCAAGGATAATCAAAAATCAAATATTCAACATCCAACCTGATTCGATGACAACGCTACAAACACCACAACATATTCTCTGGGTTCGCTTTTCTGTTTTGGTGACGCCAGATGCTCAAAATCTGGCCAGACTCCTTCATGCAAAGGATGAATCAGAAAACCAAACGATGTTGTGGTCGCTGGTCAACATGTTGGTGGCGGGGCTATCCAAATGATTGAGTTCAAATGCGATTCATTATTTTCACTTTGTCAAGTATCTTTCTCCCGAAGTCGTTATTCAAGGTTGAACCCCTACGGGGCTGTGGATGCAAACATGATCGAGAAAATAGATTTTGACCACGAATCGAGTTTGAAAACCATTTGCTAAGTATGTTCCGTGCTACAAAACATTACCTTGGCTTCGGTATGACGAGTCATCTGGGTTTGACGTAGCATTGATGGACCGTGCAAGAGCCTTCAAAGACACGCAGCGACCCGTTTCAAGATTCCAGGTATTCAAGGTTGCTGCTTAAAAAAAGGTACAACTTGGCGCAAGCTCTTGAATCTTCAGCCCAGGATTTGAGAAATCGAATGAAATTCACCATGGAGTCGTCACGCCTCACGTTAATGATAGTGGCTCTCATGTGCTCTATGACAATGGCATCTTTCAGTGAGTAAAGATCCTTTGAAGGCGATGTACAAGTTGATCATTGTTTGAGTTGAATGCAAGCTAGCTGACAAATGGATCTCACAGGGACCTGGCAAGAAGCGCAATCCCTAGCTCAAGATATGGTTGCTAATATGACGCTAGATGAGAAAATCAAAGTGTTAAAAGGTCAAGGGATTTTTGGTGGTAAGCTCCGAGCAAGTTTTCGTCTATGGAAGGCAGGCTACTCTTTATACCCTGATCAAGTCCCAGTGCAGAACGAATAGCGAGTCTGTGTGCCAGCGGATTCAATGGAGCACATATTTAACCAAAAATCACGAATCCTTCGTCTCTCTCCAGGCCCATGCACCGGAACAACTTCGGAGGTAAACGGAAGAATCCATTTTCCAGCCATATGTATGCAGGATGGTCCGGCTGGTTTACGCAATGTGGACGATCTTGTATCAGCTTTCCCAGCTGGAATTTCAGTAGCCGCAACATGGAATCGAAAACTGATGCGAGCTCGCGGCGTAGCAATGGGAGAGGAATGGAGAGCAAAAGGTTAGTGATATTGATCAGGTCTCATTGTCAAGTCATGGGCAAGACATCGCTTGAAGGACCTAAACTGAAACGACAACCACATTAGGTGCTCACGTATATTTGGGTCCGGCGGTTGACGTGACTCGTGATCCACGTGCTGGAAGATCATGGGAAGCTTTTGGAGCAGGTGAATCAATGATCGTGACTCTTTCTCCGCTAACAACGCTGATCCTCTCGCAATACCATTGCTCAAATTCATAGATCCGTACTTGAATGGTGAGGCTGCTTATGAGACTGTCAAAGGGGTGCAGAGTCAAGGAGTACAGACATGTGTGAAACATTTAATTGGATATCAGCAAGTAAAACATCCCCATATCTCAGTTCAATCCATCTTGATGATCCTAAGGCATTTTTTTCTCGCTGAACATAGGAGCAATATAGGTTTACAATGACGTCACAGATAGATGATAAAACGTTGAAAGAATTGTATCTCAAACCATTCCAACGTGCTATAGACGTGGGCCATTTTTGATTCATCAATCATTCAAAACATATGCTGAGAGAACTTTATACCCTCTCTTTAGGCTGGAGTAACATGTGTGATGTGCTCGTAAGTTCATCGCTATCTTTGGCATGGACAAGCCTCGATAGACTAATTGTGGATTGAATCAGATACAACAAGTTCAATGGGCTCAGCGCTTGCAAAAACCCCACGTTGACAGGAGATGAAGGTATATTAAGAGAAGAACTGGGATTTCAAGGATATGTGGTCAGCGAGTGAGCCATCTAAAATGGAATTTTCACAGCCTTTACCAAGGTTGAAGAACAAGAAGAGATGAAGAAATACTGAAATCTTTCTGAAACACAGCTGGGGAGCTACGCATGATGGTAACTGGAATGTCAAGCGAGTAAATGAAACTGCTCTTGCGGGCATAGACGTTGAGGTAAGTCATATTATAGTATTTTATTTGAAAGCTGATCCAAATCCTGAACAATCGATCCTCTCTCGTTTCAATAGATGCCTGGAGGGTTCATGTTAATTGGGGGTGGAGTATACGATAACTTGGAAGAAGCCGTGAATGAAAATTATGTGACAGACGCCACTATTGACAAGATGGCTACAAGGTTTATCTCAGCGTGGTACAAATTGGGACAAGATCAGGTGAACCACGGGTTTTCCTCTTGGGAATGAAAACCATTCTCCATTCGAGACATATGAGCTGACCATTTTGTGAAATCCATCCAGGGGTTTCCACAAGTGAGAAAGTCTTAAAGATCGGCAATTCCTACGCAAGATAATGTTTGCTGACTCTGCATCACGCTGGCAAAGATCTCCTTCAACGTGCATGATCAAAGTGCTAATATCAACGTCAACGCGCGAAGTAATAAACACACAAAATTGATCAGAAAGATCGCTTCTGCATCTGCAGTTCTTCTCAAAAACAGCGATGACATACTTCCACTCTCAATACCATCCACGATTGCATTGATTGGCTTGGACGCAGGACCAATATCTAATACGGATTGTGAAATGAATGCGTGCAAACTCGGGGGAACCATTCCTGTCGGGTAAATGATACTTCTGCTTTCATTATCATAGTACAAAGACTTCTCTAAAGATCCAAAAGCTGACTATCATTGCATATCGGTAAGATGGGGTTCGGGGACTAATTCTTTGAAACATGTGGTTTCCCCCGCAATTGCCATTCAAGATATGATTTGCAAAGATGATTTGCCCACAATTGTCAGCACTTCATTGACCGACGATATTTCTTCTGCAATTTCGGTTGCCGAGGCCGCCGAAATAGCCCTAGTCTTTGTATACACGTTGGTTCTATTTCAGTATTCCAGTTGACCACACTTTTGATGATCCCAAACCGGTTTCTGTGGTTTGCGCTGTTGTTTTTTCTAGATTTTCTGGAGAGATTGGAATGTGTTTTACAAATGTCGAGGGGAATCTAGGAGATCGGACAAATCTAAATTTGTTAGGAAACGGAGAAGAATTAATCAAAGCAGTTGCAACAGTAAATCCCAACACCATCGTTGTGATACACTCAGTGGGAAGTATTGTCATGGAATCATGGGTCGACTTACCGGGTGTTAAGGGTATCATCATGGCGGGTCTTCCTGGCGAACAAACTGGTGTGTTGATTGACTTGGAATTCCGTGAATGATATCTTTATACCAAACTTGCGGCCTCTACTTGACAGGCCCCGGCATTGCGGACGTCTTATTTGGGAAAGTGAAGTAAGCAACTTTCGATGGACTGTTACGTGATCATAAGGCTCACATTTGAAACCATTGTGAATTCTCAATCTCATTTACGCCAGTCCTTCTGGCCGTCTTCCTTATACAATTGCTCGAAACGCAGAGGATTTTGGTGTCACGATAGCACCTCAGAGCTTGATGAATGGGTTCTCCCCAACAGTAGTTTATAGCGAGGTACGCACGAGCGACCGGACCCCTTGTTGGATTTGTGACACCATCTAGAACCGGTGATCTAAGACTAAATGACTTGTTTGAACTCTTCTAGGGTCTTTTCACAGATTACCGTAGATTTAATCAATTGAATACCAATGTGCGATTCGCCTTTGGATTTGGGTTATCTTACACAACTTTTGATTACAAAGAGGTTATTCAAAATTTTGTCCAAAACAAAGGCGGAATAAATTTACTGATTGATACGCTCTCAATCAGTTGAAGATTGTAAAAGGGTCGGTAATGACACCAATCATCATCAAATTCCACATAAAGAACACAGGTCAACGTAATGGAACAGAAATTCCTCAACTTTATCTCACCTTCCCACCCGGACTTGGAGAACCTCCAAAGCAGTTGCGTGGGTTTGAGGCGGTTTTCATCCCAGAGGGCAAGACTCGACGAGTGTCTCTACCATTACATACAAATGATATCTCGTGAGTTATACTTCCATGAACTTCTTTGAAGCTTCCACCACTCCTACTTTGACCTGTCGTGTAGAGCAACGTTTCTATCACAGCGCCTGACCATCTTTCCTTTGCTCAAATATGACATCAGTGTATTTGACTTGGCCTTAAACAGATGGGTTCAGCCTGCTGGTTTATTCCAGGTGTATGTTGGATCATCCGTGAACGACATTCGTTTGGAAGGCAGCATGGAAATCACCAATTAAATCCTCCTATATGTACTAGCTTTTTCACCTCATTTGTTCTGAGGTGAAATTCACAGAACAAGAACCTTTTCCATTGCTCGAGCGAAATGTGTCCATCCCACTTAGCCTGTTTATCTGTAGCAATGCTCTTTGTAATATATATATACCCCTTACTACTTATGAAGTTCATTCTTTCAACGTTAATGATGGCTTAATTGCCCCTGACTGTATCGGACTTCACCTTGCTTGTTTTTTGAACATCTTATCACTTCTCCCCTATGGCGAAAATGTAAAAAATGACAGACCCCATCACTTCAGTGTAGCATCTCAAAGTCACAGTACCGTAAGATTTACTCCGGAAGTCACGAATCCTGCTCTCTCTCCTTTGACCACGTCTTTTCAGCAGCGGCCTTATCCTTCATAGCCTCGAGTAACAGAAATGAGCAGATTACAATTCTATCGTTTTCTGCAGCCATCCACGCACGGTTGAGCTACCTCTCAAGCTTTTCATCGCCGGCCAGCTTGGCCGCTTGGCCAAGAGTAGAACTGGTCAACTCCCCTTAGCTTCAAGAAAGCTTAGGATTACTTCTGAAGTGGCAAAAATAACCAGGAATGTCAGACTGCAAAACCACCTGAAGAACTATAATATACCAATCTTCCTGACACAGGTTCTGTGTCAGCCCTATGGATTAGCTGAGAGAACAAAACGTCTTCACACCATCTGAGTCCATAGATGCAGTCTCAATGCAAAGCCGATACAGAAACGCGACCTAACGCGACGCGTCCTACGAGGTTCTCGGGTGTCCGCTGTGGAATCATGGGATTTGCGGGTGTGGATGACCAGGGATGATCTGAAGACAATTTTCAAAAAATAGAATGGCGTAGAAGATAATCGTGAATTCAATCCTTGCATGGCGTTGTCGATATGCCAGGGCCCCTGTGGCTCCTCAGCGCTCCTATCCAGAAATGAGACATCATGCAGATAGCCTGCAATCGAGTGATCGCCTTGTAAGTTTTTCCTTTGGTATACGTTCCTCTCGCATAGTCCAGCCTCCGCAATCGACTTTCAAACCAAGGCGAACGTTCTCGTTTCCAAATTTCGATTCGCTCATCTTTCCTCACGATGTTAATTCAAGTTGCCATATTACAATCGATAGTATTAGGGCTATCAGGTGTAGCACATGCTAGTGAGTCTTTTTTGTTCATTTTGAAGGCTGTCCCCAATACTGGAGTGGGTTGAAATGGCTTCTATTTCTTTCAAACGTTTGATGATGGAAAATTCCTAGGGACCTGGTCAGAAGCAAGAGACCTGGCGGTCAAGCTGGTATCCAACATGACTCTAGGTGATAAAATCAAGGTATTGAAAGGCCAAGGAATCCTTTCGGGTAGGTATACATTTATCCTTCTTGTGTGCGGCACATGACAGAAATCATGCCTCATATGAAGCTGGAGATACTTACACGAGCTATATATCCACAATGTACAGGTCCATGTATAGGGACCACAACAGCGATCACAGAGGGCGGAACGTTTCCAGCAATTTGTATGCAAGACGGACCGGCTGGTTTACGTGAGGTCGATGAGTTCGTCACAGCATTTCCGGCAGGAATCTCAGTGGCGGCTACGTGGGACCGAAAGCTCATGCGGGCTCGGGGTGTAGCACTTGGCGAAGAGTGGAGAGCAAAAGGTACAAAGAAACTCAAATCATGCTTTTTACTTCATTGTCGCACTCACGAATGAGTCAATTTACCTTTCACACTGTGGATTGCACTTCCTAGGTTCGCATGTATTTTTGGGACCAGCTGCCGACGTGACTAGAGCTCAGGAGGGCGGTCGGGCTTGGGAATCGTTTGGAGCGGGTCAGTTTTATGTTGATCAATTTGTTGGGAAACAACTACACAAACTCAAGCGAAACTCCCTTCTGACAGACGCTTTCCTCAATGGCGAAGCCGCGTATGAGACGATAATCGGGGTTCAAAGTCAGGGGGTGCAAGCCTGTGTCAAGCACCTGATCGGCAATAACCAAGTCAGTTATTCAGAAATCCGGTCGTAATTACCACGGTTTGCGCTCTCTATGCGATGAAAGCCCACTTACAAACTCTCAATATTTGTGGTCCAAAGGAGCAATACAGGTTTTCGATGACAAGTAAAATTGATGGAAAAACTCTGAGAGAACTATACTTTAAGCCATTCCAACGAGCTATCGATGTGAGCTGTGATTATTCTTTTGATCTCCGAGCTCCGTCATATTCTGATTGTCTTCATGCCTTTGAGAACAGGCAGAAGTAGCTTGTGTCATGTGCTCGTAAGTAGACTCACCTTCACAATATCTGTCGGAGCTCAGCTGAAGGCATGCAATTCCTACTAGTTACAATAAATTCAACGATAACTGGGCTTGCAAAAACCCTGAGCTCATTGGAGAGGATGGTCTACTTCGAAAAGAGGGAGGTTTCCAAGGATATGTTGTTAGCGAGTGAGTTTGTACAAGATCAAAAGAAGTCTCCGTCATTCAATGCGAAGCACTGAGCGCTGACGTGGGGGCTTTTATAGCTGGGGAGCGTCACATGGGACAGCAGTCAAGTCGGTGAAGGAGAGTGTATCAGCTGGGCTGGATGTCGAGGTGTGTGGAGTTTCGTCTTGCGATAACTTTTCAAGATTGTACTCGATGCGAATTTTGATATACTGTGCAAACTGCACCAATGCAAGATGCCAGGTGGTTACATTTTTGTTGGCGGGGGAGTATATGGCAATTTGAAAGCTGCAGTGGAGGCGAAGTACGTTCCGGAATCTGATGTGGATAAGATGGCGACCCGCTTCATCTCAGCGTGGTTCAAGGTTGAACAAGACAAAGTCTGCCATTTTCATTCTACCCTTCAAGTTCTCATTCTCCTAATTTTCCGGCTACGGACAAAGAATGATACCCTACTAATCGCGTACTGATTCTGTCCTGAAGGCATATCCACCAGTGAGTCCCGCGCGAAATCCATTAAGGAGAGGTGTCTCAATCTGAGCCAAATATTTCATCGCCAGATCTCCTTTGACGCGCACAACAAAATTCGGCAAAAAAAACTCAACGTCAGGAGCGAAGCACACACTCAGTTAGTGAGAAAAATCGCTGCTGCGTCTGCGGTTTTGCTCAAAAACTCCAACGGAGCGCTTCCACTCTCTCCACCAGCTACAATTGCGCTCATTGGTGTGGATGCGGCCTCCATTCCCAAGAAAGATTGTGGTCTGAATGACTATGAGCGTCACGGAACCATATCAGTCGGGTAAAAGCTGTTCCCTCTACAAGATAAAAAATCTTCAAGATACACTCGGTTTTGAACTTACACTTCTTTATCCAAAATACAGCTGGGGTTCAGGTTCAAACTGTTTGCAAAATGTGGTTGCACCTGCTGTCGCCATTCAAGATATGCTTACCGCTGAGAAGGCATCGACAAAAGTCCATACTTCGTTAACTAATGATGTCAATAGCGCTGTGGCTGCTGCTAAGGTAGCCGATGTGGCGATTGTATTTGTATACACGTAGGTTTTGAATCTCATCAGTCCCTAAGCTGAGAGCGAAACTCGGACAACTATTTGACTAGTCACTTTTTCTTCTCAAACAGCATCAGCGGGGAGATAGGGGCTGGGTTCACACGCGTTGAAGGAAATCTCGGCGATCGAAAAAATTTGAACCTCCTTCAAAATGGGGAAGAGCTTATCAAAGCCGTTTCCGCAGTCAATAACAAAACAATCGTTGTGATCCATTCAGTGGGAAGCGTGGTAATGGAAACTTGGGTAGACCTACCGGGAGTCAAGGCGATTATCATGGCAGGCCTTCCCGGGGAACAGACCGGTATGCAACCTTTAGAACAATCTCAGCTGATCTGATAGTCTGTATTCATGCTACAAAAATTCACTTATTTAGGCCCAGGAATTGCGGACGTGCTATTTGGAAAAGTCAAGTGAGTGATAAGAAGGCCAGAAGACTTCGTAGTCTTTCTAAACTTATCATCATCTTCAGTCCATCCGGACGCCTTCCATATACAATTGCCAAGAGCGAAGATGACTTTGGAGTCAAGGTTTATCCGGAAGGGTTACTCAATGGACTCGAACCTATAGTTGACTATAAAGAGGTAAGTACCAACATATTTTCCGACCTTGCGACATGTGAATTATGATATACTCCCCTCAGCCTCACTGGCCTAAAAACCGAGTTTAACATTGCGCTCTTGCTCTTTGTGTCATGGGATCGCTACTCACTTTGAACGTCAGGGGCTCTTCACAGACTATAGGCGATTCAATCAACTCAACACCACTGTCAGATATTGTTTTGGACACGGCCTTTCATACACAACCTTCCGTTACAGTCAGGTCAATAATTCATGTGCCATACAAACCTTGATCGGGTTGACCAAATCTGATCATTTGTGAACTTTTTGCGACTCGTGTTAGTTAAAAATTGGGCGAGGTAAAGATGATGTAGCATACGAGGTCAGCTTTCAAGTGACCAATGATGGCCCAAGGGATGGTACAGAGGTTGCACAACTCTACCTTACCTTTCCATCAGGTTTGGGAGAGCCACCTAAACAACTGAGGGGATTTGATTCAGTCTTCATCCCGCGGGGAGAAACTCAAACTATCTCCTTGGAATTAAAGACACGGGATGTTTCGTCAGTCGAATCAGCTTTTACTGATGCCAATTTTCACTTGTCACAATTATTTGTAGCTGACGTTGGCTAGTTCTCTTTCTACCTGGGATGAACCTAAGAAAACAGTGTATTCGACACAAACTTGAATAAATGGATCACTCCTGATCGCGGTTTCAATGTATATGTTGGAAGTTCTTTGCTTGATATACATCTTGAAGGTACTATATAAGAAAAAGATCTCAGTAAAGCTGAAAATTCATTGGAGAAAATCAACAAAGATACCTTTAATTTTGGGGTTCGATGTTCTTCTCCTTATTTCTTAATCTCTTATAATAATTATAGATATGAACCTTTCCCAATTTTTCCCAATTTTCCGCTTTGATATTCTTGTATTACATATGGAGCTGACTTATTATTATTGTGAACTTGTCTCGTAAGTGAGCGACATAATGATAGATACCGGATTGTAACACATAACCTGTCTGAATTGAGTACCATTGTCACTCTCAGTCACTTTTGAGAAGACGAGGTTTTCATCACAAACAAAGTCCCTCAGTATCCTTCTGGAATGATAAGGATTATCTTTAATAATTTAGAGAGGCTACCAATGAACTCTGCCGGTAACAGAATTGATCCCAGGCTGGTAGTGATACGCTGCAACACTTGGAGGAGTGATCACCCTGAATATGCTCTTTTGAAAGCTGATTGGAGGTATCTGAGAAAACGCCCTTGTATACTTTGTTTGAACCAAATATTCATCCTGTGATTGAGACCCCGCTGTGGGCACCTTTACGTGTAAACATTCAGATATTTCTTCTTTTCTTTCTTGTGATTATCGTGTGTTGACTATGCTAGTAGAATCTTTTGCTTCTGTTCACAAATCTTCCATACATCTCATCGTTGATGGACGTAATCTTGACCGCACAACAGTCTGCTGCACAGCTTTCTTTTGTCACGAAATGTAATTCTCAAAACTTACAATAACCAGTGTTTGAAAATACTGAAAGCAAAGGTTGTGGGCGAATCCCTAGGCTAGATCTGTAGAGACGAAAGCAGATGAAACGCGTAAACTAGTGAAACTAGATGTCAGTGAAATCTACCGAAACAAAGAATTTGTGACAATTGCATATAATAGAAAAAGAGATCTACCTAGTGAAACTAGATGTCAGTGAAATCTACCGAAACAAAGAATTTGTGACAATAGAGAAAAGACAACACAAGTTTCAGGAAGAACGTAAACTATTTATGCGAAACAAGTTTCAACTCGGCGTTACAACAATGACGCTAACAAAGAAAAAGAAACCAGCCCTGATCTAACATCCTAGATCTTCCAACTGGGCTAAACCAAGAATGGGTGAGTTTGGCCTAGTCACCTACGGTGCCTAGCCACTTCAGCCGTAACACCCCCCCCTCAACCTTTAGAGGTTTACACCCTATGTCATACAAATATTACTCTTATGAATTTGAAAGATGATATTACCCAAAGCCTTAGTAAGGATATCGGCTTTTTGATTAGGTCCATCAATCCAACTGATCTTCAGATTACCGTTGAATATTTGCTCGTTAACATAATGAAACTCTCTTGCTACATGATGAGAACGTTTCGTAAGATGAAGGTCTTGAGCTACCTTTATTGCTGCAGTATTATCACATTTTAAAGTCGTGATAAAAGATTTCTTGAAAATATCTTCAAGTAAGTTCTGAATCCAAATTGATTCTCTTGACGCTACTCCCAAAGCCATATACTCAGCATGGCAGGTCAAAGTAGCTACGCAGCTTTGCCTCCTTGAGGCCCATGAAATAAGATTACCAAACAAAAATACAGCAAAACCGTGAGTTGACCTTGAAAATTCCCCCCCCCAGTTTGCATCACAATAAGTAACTAATTCAATATCCTGCTCCTTCTTTCTAAACCAAATCCCATCATTTTTCGTACCACTAATATATCTTACTAAACGTTTTAAAGCCAGCCAGTGCCTGTCACCCGGTTTTGAAGAGAACCTCGCAAGATAGTTGACAGAAAAGGAAATGTCTGGACGTGTCCCAATAGCCAGATAGGAAAGTGATCCAAGAATCGACAAATAGGATGATGCGTTGATGCCTATAGCATCTTTATCCAATGTATCTAATTGAAGATTGGCTATCATCGGTGTCGAGGTTCGAGATGTTGTAAAACCGGTTGATTCCAAAACACTAGCAGTTAGCACTGGTTGAGATAAAAAGATGCCTTCTGGTCTGTAATCTATCTTAATACCAACAATTTGTTCGAGTTGATCGTTCCAAGTGATTTGAAAAGTCTTAAGTAATGATTGATGAATGAAATTGACAATGTTTGTTGATGATCCACAAATAACTCCGTCATCCACATGGATCCAGAGAAGAGCGATGTCATTTTGATAGTGAAGTACATATAAACTTTGATCGTTTGTACAATACTTACAACCCATACCAGCAAGCACAGATGAAAAGTGCTTCCACCAGCAACGCGCCGCCTGCTTGGTTCCATAGAGTGCTCGTTTGAGAAGTAAAACTGCATCTGGAAAAGAAACGGGAACACCTTCAGCAGGTCGAACAAAAATGATCTCATCGATGGGACTGTGTGGGTAAGCAGCTACGACATCGAAACCCCTAATATGCCATCCATGAAAGACGGTGATAGAAAATATAATCATTAGTGAGGTAAACTTGGCAGTCGGTGCGAAAGTTTCCGAAAAATCAAGTCCTTCTCTCTGAGTGAATCCTCGAACAACCAGCCTTGATTTTCTTTTAACTATATTACCCTGAGAATACCCTGAGAATCCAATTTCTCAGCAAATACCCACTTACTGGATACAGTTTTCTGACCAGGAGGTAATACAACTTCCTCCCACACACCCAACTTAATCAACATATCTAATTCCTTCGAACAAGCTTCTTTCCATTCACTTGCGTATTCACTACCCATTGCTTCTTGATAACTCCTAGGCAACCGAGCAGCCAAACCTGCAGCCTTAGCATGTAAAAGATCTATATTGAGGTCTTGCTGTCGCACGGTTTCAGAAAATTGCCTATCTTCAAGTGAATAAGTGATTGATAGCGATTCGAAAAGTTGTCTAAGATCATCATGACTGATAATTGAGTCGTCAGAAGCAAGAATACTATCCAAAGAAGGTTTGTGAGTTACATTTGGTGGTGGTGTTGGAAGAGATCGGCTTGTAGTCTTCTCGTCGAGCCACCTGGCATGTGCAGAATCTATAAATTCATCAGTCAAAGGATTCCAAAACCGCCAACCCTTGCTCCCTTCAAGATAGCCAACAAAACGACACTTTACTGCTGTCATCCAACTTTTTTCTCTTTTCAACTGGTACATGAACAAACGCCCAACTCCCAAAGATTCGGAGATGGTCGACTTGAGGAGGAAAACCGAACATAAGTTCAATAGGTGTTTTGGAACCAGTGTTGGAGTTCGGAGTCCTGTTGTGAAGATCTGTAGCAGTGATTATGGCGAAACCCCAAAATTTCTTGGGAAGATTTGAATCTTTGAGGAGCACACGCATCCCACCTTGAACTGTCCTATTCGCACGCTCGATGGAACCATTTTGTTCGTGGAAATAAGGTAATGATGTTTGGACCTTGATGCCTTTTTCAGCAAAATAAGATTTGAGAGAATTGTTTACAAACTCCCCACCACCGTCCGTGCGCCAATGGATAACCTTCTTGCCGGTACGTCGTTCTGCTTCTGCTATGAAAATCTTGATTTGATTAGTAGCTTCACTCTTTGATTTTAATAGATATGTTCGCATAAAAGTGGAAAAAACGTCGCAAATTTCTAATGAATATTCAGACCCGGAAATAGTTTTAACAGGGAAAGGGCCGCAAAGATCAGCCACAACAAGTTGGAGGGGTGAATCATAGGAAAATAAAGAAGGTCCTATAGTTGAAGTTTTTGTTGATTTGGAAATGGCACAGTCTTCACAAGCTACAGTTTTCGTAAGCTTCTCAGGTAGGCCTACACAAGATTGTTCACGAACCAACTTCAATAAAATTTTGTCATTTACATGACCTAGACGACGATGCCAAAGCATAAAGTCGCCTAAAACAGCTGCCGTCTCGACTGGGTTTTGAATGGCCTTCAAAATCCATTTCCTGCCTGACTTAATTGCTGTAAGAACTCTTGAATCATTCCTCCAAAGTTCTATACCTTTTGATGAATTCTTAAAGGTAATGCCATCTTCCTCCAATTGAATCCATGAAAGTAGGGAATGACGCAAGTTCTCACAAAAATAGACGTTATTGACCTCCAAAGTTTCATTAGAATTCATTGCATTACATATCTTAACACGACCAACACCAGTGATAAAAGAGGAAGAGTTGTTGTTTGCCATCCTAACTGGTAATGGGTTGATGTTTTGAATAGATATAAAAAATGAACGGTCATTAAAAACGTGGTGAGTTGCGCCGGTGTCGAAGATGATAGTAGACGGGGAGATATCAGTATCTAATTGCGAAATAATGATGTGTCGAGAATCCACACACCCTGAGAAATCGATATCGGCGAATTGAGGTTCTACAATCCTCGCATCCGAAGTAGAAGCCACAGGAGAAGTACGTTTCTTGTCCTTGGCCTTCAAAATGGGACAGTCCGGTTTAACATGACCGGTCTTCTTACAGAAATAGCAGCGTAAAACCCTGGTTTTTGAAGTTTTAGCTACCGAAGTCGATAATCCATCAGCAACAGATATGCTGCCTTTCCTATGAGCCACGTCCGCTGCACCCATTGCCCTAACCATAGATGAAGAATTGATAATAGCCCTAGGGTCATTGATGATCATAGCTTCGAAAGTGTTGGTAACATTTGGGAAGCCTAAAGGAACACTGTTGAGAAGAACCCCAGCGAAGATGTCGTCCGGGATAAGCATTCCTGATCTTTCCAATTTTCTTCTTAAAGTAGCAGCTGAGTGTACATGAGCGTCAAGCGTGGTAGATGATGGATCGTATTTAATTGACATAAATTCGTTCAATAAAGACATTCGACCAGCGAAGGTTTCTCCAGAAAAACGGCTCTTGAGGTAAGCATATCTTGCCGAAGGAACTGGTGAATGTTCCTTAAGACGCATACCAATGTGTCTGTCAACTGTCCAATGGAAAAGTCCGTTGATGCCACGAGCGATGTCTTCGCGCCATCCAGAGACACTGGGTATAGCAGCCGGATGGAGATAATCGATGCAGCCTGTCATGATTTCCAAGTATTCTTGAATATCAGCATCCCACACATCGAAGTTTGAACCATCGGATTTCAACTGAGCCAAACTGGCTAGTTTGACTTGACAATTTCGAGTTCGAACGATCCAGGAGTCAGTGTTTTCACTTCCTGCTATCGTAAAGACGTTGTGGATAGTCTGATGGAGAGTTTGAGGTGCGTTGTTGATCTGCTGATTCTGTTGCAAGTTTTGTTGTAAATTTTGAGACTGATCTACACCAAGACCAACACCAGCAGGTTGACCACCAGTAAGTTGTCCATCCATTTCCACGGATTCGATTGAATTGTCAGCTGATTCGATAGTAGTCGAATAAGGATTTGAAACGATTAATTGATTGTCAGAGGTATTTTGATTGTTTGAAGCGGTAGCGTTAGAATGTGCGGATTCGAATGATAGATCTGAATCGTCTGGTATGGTAAAGCTCATAACCTGTAGAGACGAAAGCAGATGAAACACGTAAACTAGTGAAACTAGATGTCAGTGAAATCTACCGAAACAAAGAATTTGTGACAATAGAGAAAAGACAACACAAGTTTCAGGAAGAACGTAAACTATTTATGCGAAACAAGTTTCAACTCGGTGTTACAACAATGACGCTAACAAAGAAAAAGAAACCAGCCCTGATCTAACATCCTAGATCTTCCAACTGGGCTAAACCAAGAATGGGTGAGTTTGGCCTAGTCACCTACGGTGCCTAGCCACTTCAGCCGTAACAAGATCAGCCCAGGGTTTTAATTACTTGAATCAAACAAAAAGACCCTACGGGGTGGCTAGCGGACCTAAAACAATTGTAAAGAAAACACCACTACTCAACATAAATGAAACTATAACCCTACTAAAAATTGAAACATAACCATAGGAAAAAGTAAAAAGAAAAAGTAAAATGAAGCCCAACACAATCTTTTTAAAGACAACATTATAATCACAAAGAACCAACCAACTCTCTTTTTTTTTTTTTTTTTTTTTTTAAAAAAAAGAAATAGTAATCCCACCGCATCTCCTTAAATCAATCCATAAGCGTGAAAAGTACTCAAAAATCTTAGTAATAATAATCGTGACTTCAATACCTGGGAATAAGGGTGGGTGGGCGCGAAATATAAGAACTAAACTAGTTTACCGAATAAGATGACATTGAAGTTTTGACGAATGTAAACACGATGGGAAGATGAATCAAAAGGATGGTCAACAGCCTATGACATCATCCTTGTAAGTGACTGAAGTACAAAAGAATGTCCGACCCGTCAGTAACTTTACAGGTACCGTGCATTCCGAATGAATCACACTCCCATCGGTTAATAACGAGTTACCAACTCCATATGCTTCTGAACGAACGTGCCATGGATTCCAAAGAAACACCGGATGTATGCGGGGCGGTGCAAGCATCGGGATTAGTACCCGGATTAGTACCCGATCCGATCCAATGTGTCTCGGGACATTGGGTGGTTCCAGTTTCACCTTGAGATTTTGTTCAGAAAATTATTCCTCTCTCTTGAACTCCCAGTCAAGGTCAGTTATCAGTCTCCTTTATCTCTCAATGTTACTTCACCTTCAAAATCTGCTGACAAATCGGATTCCCTACGTAGATATTAGTTACATCTTTCAATTACGTCTCCAAACCTTGCGGAGCGATAAAAGTCAGACATGCAATCGCTCAACGGGAAAGGTATAAATTCAACGCCAATGCCGCATGCCCTTCAGCGCAACAGACGCCAGAAGATAGGTGGCAGTGTCTTTTCGGAAAACGGAGGAACTTCTGTGAAATGTATGATGTGAGTAGATCAATGAACAATGATGGTCATTCTGCGTAGCTGATCGTCACAATATGACTCATTGCGACTTTTGTTTTGAATAGTTGTCACGACAAAAACGCTCGATATACTTGCCCAGAATGCAATTTACGTTATTGCTGTCTAAATTGTTTCAAAGCCGAGGTTAATACTCGATTTCCGCTCTGAAGTTTACAACATTCACTGATTCCCTTGAGATGGTCTGGTTTAGGCACATTTGATGTGCTCCGAATCATTCTACAAACGTACCCTCTTTGAAGACATTCAGAGTGACCCACAGGCTTCAACGCACACGAAAACAGAAATGTTAGAAGTACTTCGTCGATTAGAGAAATCAGGCCTGTCCGATGATGAGCGTGATCCTGAGACTGGCAAAATCAGCAGTGCTTCTAGTGACTCTATTGACTCGGTGGATGAAGAAGATTTGGGTTAGTCAATATCAATCTTTCATTCCCGCCGGAATCTTTCACTAAAAACATATTTCGCGATACAGACCAAATGAGTACTGAACAACTTTTGAGACTCTTATCACCTGAACAGATCAATCAATTTCAGAGCACACTTCAGCATGCTGATCTTGATCCTGCCTTATTCTATCAAACAATCAAATCAAGTTACTCTACACCGTGGTGGTTACTTCTGAATAAAACGGACACCAACGATTGCGAGGAAATTTTAGAATCACTTCAGACAGACTCGATCGATTTCACAAAGATACCGAAAATTCTCCCAGCTCATATGCTTCCTCCTCTACCGTCATCACCCAATCCTAAGCTTATCTTTCAAATTATCACTGTGATGTTGAGTCAACATTTTTTCAACTCGATTCATCTATCCCTTTTTGATAGCCAAAGGTATGGCTAATCGGAGTACTCATAACTTTTTTGTCTTATTCGCATTGTTGCAAAGGTAGTTTAGGTTACCTATACACCGTGCGATGCTTCGGCCTGGAAACGCTCTTCAGTGCCTTAAACTTGACGATAGAAGACCAAACGGATATCTTCTTGAGGACTACCGAAGCTGTCTCTTCGCTTTTCCACACTCAAGCCACTGGCCAAGTATTCGACTCACTCTCAGATTGTCACGCCTTTTGCTGCAGTAAGCTTGGTATAGAGCCAAGCAAAGTGGGCGAGATAGTGGATCTTTTATCATCTGATCTCGACACTCTAGCACGTGAGAAAATCGAAAAAGCTAAAAGGTCATGTAAAATCGTCGAAATTGTGCCAGATGAATCCGCATCTACACAGGATTTTCTTGCTTCAGCTCTCTCCGATCTACACGACTTTTTGGATCATCTTTCTTCCAAAAACAATTCTTCAAGTGACTTGATTGATCAGGCAAGATCTACAATTGGGCGAACTGCCCTCAAAAAGGCTATCCTGAAGCTCCGGTTTTTTGTGACCTTTATTTTGAAAGAGCCAGCTGGCGTTGATGAACTCTGGGATAAGATAGATCGCGAAATGGTCGCCTCACGCACGAAGGGTGTAAACGATGAACTGGAAGTAGTTGATTCGAAGACGTCTCTCTTGTGTCTGGCACGGCCTGCCAATAACTCTATTCTTGAAGATATCAGCTCCACTTCCGCGAAGATTGTGGAGTTGACATGAATCGAAATTAAAAGTCGCGGAGACGGACCAAGCCTATACATCTGAAGTAATCTACCTTTGCATCTCGAAGTAGTCAAAGCGCTTGCCCTTTGATCGACGTCTACATACCTGACTTGTGGCAATCATATATGCACCCAGTCTGTTACTGTTTAGAATTCCAATCTACGTGATATTTATATCTATGTACCAGCGGAGTTTGTTTCCACAATGATCTTTATCAACAGACCGATGATCTGGGCTCAATATTGAGCTTGTTGATTTAACTAGTACTCACTCATTCATTGTATGTTTATGTAACTTGTCAATTTCTAAAGCATCAGTCCGACTCTCATTGAACAATGCCACTAGGAATTAAGGTCAGAGCATACGCTGCCAAGCCTCATCACGCATTTCAAGCCTGTGCACTTTTTAGGATGCATTGCCTCAAAGTCACATAATTTGCAGTCTGGCCATCTTTCGATGTAGCTCAATATTAGGCTATCGACTCGTTCAAATCAAGGTAACTTGGACTACATCACCAGGTGATTCGAAGATTAGAGTTGAGAATCTTCACAACACTTGCATTGCGCCTAGAGCTAGACAAACCTCCATCATCAAATTCCCGCTGGATATTTACGATATTCCAAGACAGACTAGTTGAATTGCAAAAGTTTTGTTCAAAACTAGAACCTCCCCAATTTGATCTAATCGTTCGAAAATGATTCCCAGGGTGATAGTCATCTCAGACTGAGGATGATAACGTCACAAGCTGGTTCGTTATGACTGGCGACGTATTTGGGACTGGCATAAAAATTGACACCAGAATTGAAGACGGTTGAGAACGCAAACACCTCACATCAAAATCCTTATTGACAAATCCAGGCTTATGGTCATGCAAGCCTTCTGAAGGGTCAACCCGTCAAATTTTATCACTGACTGAGCAGACCGTATCAAAAAATTAGCATTCCGACTATATAGTACTCTAGCTCATGGTTATTCCAATAGATAAATGACTTTGAAGATGATTTTGACCCTGACTATGTAATACTAATAGATGGCTTGCACCTGAAGTATCTACCTACAACGTTCCCGCCATCCTAACTCATCCCTTCAGACTAGATCATAATTCGATTATTTCAGTAAGTTAATTGCAGCAAGGGGTTCAGCGCGCTTGTTGCCCAATTGGTAAACTATATAACTCTACCTGTTCCTCACCCTTCTCCTACCTTTCATCATTTCCAAAACACCCTCTCTAATAATACTCAGACTGAAGATCGAACAATAATCCATCCCACTCAACCTTTTAATTCGTCTTTCAAAACCATCCTAATTGATCTTAATAATCTATTCACAACTTTATCATCATGTCTAATAACGTCATCTCTACTAATCCTACAGTAGCTAATATAGATATCACTACTGCAGGAAGTAATTTCTTGTGGTGGGTATTCGCAATGATGATCACTAGTGCTCTTGGTTTGACAGCTTATTCTCTTACACTTAATCCGGCTCGTCGAGCTTTTCATTTTCTTGGAGTCGCTATTCTTTTTACTGCCTCTATTGCTTATTTCTCAATGGCTTCTGATTTAGGAGCTACTCCAATCTTGGGTACGTCAATTTTTAAATTTATCAATTCATCTTACATTAACTTGATAAACTCATGTATTTTTTTTATTCTTTTAGTGGAATTTGTTCGTAATCAAGGTGATTTGGCTACTGGATTTGTTGCACCTACAAGGTCAATTTGGTATGTTCGATACATAGATTGTGAGTATTTTCTATCTTCTTCAACTTCTTCATTTGATAGGTCTTCTCAAGGTACGAAAAGAGATTGATTCTAAATTAAATTTGTTGTAATTCAAATAGGGGTGATCACCACACCACTTTTACTTTTGACTTTATTACTCAGTACTGGAATGCCTTTATCTGGAATCTTTGCTACTATCTTCTTTGATATCATAATGGTAAGCATCTTTTTTCTTTTACTAATATCTTTTGATACTATTCTAATGTGAGAATTGTTTATTTTTTTAGATTGTTACTGGACTTGTTGGAGCTTTAGTACACTCTTCTTACAAATGGGGTTACTTTGCTTTCGGTTGTCTTGCAATGCTTTGTAAGTCTCTCTTGCTTTCTTTCTTTGTATCTCTGAACCTAAATCACTTTACTCATACTTTCTATGTCTTTATTTACTAGATGTTTTCTGGACTTTGATTGGTCCTGCTCGTTTAGCTGCCAAAGCATTAGGAGATGATAATCATCAAGCATACATCAAAGGAGCTCTTAGTCTTTCATTCTTATGGATGCTTTACCCAATTGCATGGTACGTAATCTTTTTACCACATTTCAAAACATGATTTGGTTTTTTAAATTTTCTGACGATTTTGTAAATCTTTGATGCATATAGGGGTTTATGTGATGGTGGAAATGTGATTAGTGTGAATGGAGAGATGATCTTCTATGGTATCCTTGATGTCCTTGCTAAACCTGGATTCATCTTCTTACACCTTTATTCGATTCGTAATATTGATTATGATCGATTCGGATTAGAATCAGGTCATCGTACCATCGGTCAAGCTGTAAGTCGTCAAATCCTTCTGATAACCCTTCTAGAAAACCCCTTTCTGACTCAACTTTTTGTATACTATGCGGTCTCATAGGCTCCTCTCTTACAAGCTACTGCCACTGGACCTCATGTTGTACAAATCTCCGGTAAAGAACCTACCACCACTAGAAGACCTGCTCCTTCATTCTCTTCAAACGTAGTTCAAACTCAAGACATTGGACCTTCTACTCAAGTTGACCATCAACCAATGGTCACTCAAGAAAAAGAAGTCGAAGCTCCTATTCAAAGCTTTGTGCCTTCTAGACCTTCTCTTCAAGCTGAACTTCTTTAAGAATGTATTCCAACAAGGAAACTTGTGATTCTTTTTGGCTTTCAATTACACCTTAATATCTTTAATTGATTATTGTCTTTTGATCAAGAATAACAATATCTTATGGATCACATTTCATTGTTCTATCTGTTGTGATTTAATCTGTTTTTGATTTGATCTGTTTTTTTTTTGGTTTAATAGAAATCATATTTTGTAAAATCTAATATTTATTTCTATTAAAACTTGTTCTACTTAGAAATTCAAACTCAGAACAATAATTTTGAATCCTATAAATCTCATCATGAGAATTGTCAAATGATGATCCAAAATAAAGGTTTCAAGGTTCTGATCGGTTTTACGGATCGAAAAAAAAAAAAACAGAATCATTTCCCCCAAAACAAATTCATCATGTATCTTATCTTGATGACTTTCCTTTAAATTTGTTTTGTTTGGTATCTTTTCCATTTGACCACCACCGGAATCAAATTCACGTAAAGAGATATATGAAAATTACTTGAACTTCTGAACTTCTTGATATGAACGGATCTTACCTAATATTACTCTCATCATTCATTCACCATCAAACTCACACTCCTCGACTCTTCTTACCTCTATCAAATCAGCTCAGAATCTTTGAATCAAGCTTTTTAAATCTGATAACTGCAAAGATAGTTTCCATCACCAAACCTCGTGGATAATCTCTATTGATTTCATTTCCATGAACAAACATATGCATTCAAATACAAATCAAAAAACATCACATCTATCAAATCCTACACCAAACTACGATTCATAAGATCCTACAAAAAAATAACCTCACTCTATAAAATAAAACCCTACACAAAACCTTCCTTCCTACTTCAATCTTCCTTACAGTGACACCAATCCAAAACCCCCCACCAAAAAAGAAAAACTCAAAGAGAAAACCACCCCTCCGTCCCAAAGTTTAATCTTTCTTAACTTTTCTTTCTCTCCAAGATCTTCCACCATCCCATAAAACAAGTTTCAAGTATTCCCAAGACTGAGCATCCTTCAAAGTTTCCCTTGCCACTCTTTCTCCAAGACATTCCATTTCATTTGCCGACTTGATATCGATCAATTGAAAACCAATTTCGTTGGGTCGAGTGATCGATTTAATCATTGGTCCTCCAATTGACACTTTTGAAAGTTCTTGGGGTAAGGAATCTTTGGGTGCTGAACAATCTGTGTGATCGTTTAGGGTTTTGAACCATTCTAATACTGGTCGAGTTATGAATCGTTTAGAACCGAATAAGATACCTTCGAACCATCCTAGATGCTAAAATCACCAAGAAAACACGTGTTAGAAACCGACCAATTTAAACTCAAGCTCAGTAAAAGAGTATGATGAGAGATGAAAAGGACAACTTACGCCACCATTCTTTGTAAGACCTAGTACCAAGTAAGGATTATCCACAGTAGCATGGATCGGAACTCCTTTAGAACTGGCAATCACATCATCTAGAGCATTAAGACCTAAGAGTGGTACTCTTACGTGACTGACTACGTTAGCTGAAGATTGAGTTTTATAATAATGTTCGGTACTTGGAAATCCACATAACACTCGAGTCACAATCGTATCGAATTCGTAGAGAGTTTGATATGGATCAGAGAATAGTAAATCGATATCTACTTTCATTGATGAGTCATTAGATTGGGTCTGGTTGGCTGTTAAGAAAAATTCTTTATGACGTTTAAACATTGATCTATAGAGGAAAAAAAAGTAAACGATTTGGTTTACGAAACCCATCAGATTAGGATTTCATTTATATAAAAGATGAAAAAAAACAAATTGAAAAGAAGATCTACTTTACCTTAGACTAAAAGCAAGTACACGAGAATAAATTCGTTGAATAAAACTAGACTCTAAATAAAGATTACCATTATAAAGGTCCCAAGGATTAGCCAAGACCACACCTGTTCTTAAAACACTAGCTTCTTTTTCTTCTCCTAAATATTTGGCTAAGATATTGGCTCCTAATGAGAACCCGATACCGTGTAAATGGGTTTCAGCGGGGATCAAATGTGATAAGAAAAATAAAGAAGATCTTAGATCGTCTGTTGCTCCAGCACTTAAAAAGAAGAAGAAAAATGATCAGGAATTTAGATTTGTGAAAATCGGAATGAAGTCTTGACTAAACTGGTATAGTTTTGGACTGGTGACTTTAGATCCTGCACAACCTCGGAAATTGGTCACCATCACTCTCCATCCTAGGTCTTGAATGATGGGAGATACCATGGCACGAACATAAGATTCATGTGAACCACCTGTTAAACCGTGTAGTAAAACTAAAACTGGAGTTGGGTCTTTTGGATTATCAAAGGCTCCGGGTGGTGAGAAATCGATTTCGATTTGTCCTCCATCTGGTACTCGAATGATTTTTCTACCAAAAAAAATACAATAACCAAATCAACAAAAATCAGATAGGAACCTTAATATGTGCAGTCTTTTTTGGAAAGTTGGATGGGGTTTACATACCTTTCGTAGTGTACTTTGTCTGTTACTGAAGAATTGGTTGCCGCACAACAAAGTGTCTATGTATGAGATTCGAGAAAAGTGATGGATCGGTATTGGATTTCTACATTCAGTCGAGGTGTATTCAATAGCTTACCTGAACATGACCACTTTTCAATCAAGAACCAAAAAGAGTTTAAATTAGTACTAGATTAAAAGTAGATTTAAACATTAAACACGTACCTTAACATTCCAAGGGGAGGAGTATAGTAAGCTTGATCACCAAAAAGATGATGACAATGAGTTTTAAGAAGTTGTTTGAAATTGATCGTTTGGTTTGTAGTTGATGTTGAATTGGTTTTTGGATTTAAATTGATGGATGTGGTACTATGATAAAGCTTTAGTTGTGCTCCTAAGATTGATTTTTGAAGGGTTTGAATGTATTTGTGAATTGGTTTTAGGATGTAATCTTTCCATGTTGATTTGTTGGTCATGATGATAAGTAAAACAAAAGTAAATGAAGTGATTAATGAATGATAGTCTTGAGTCTTGGGTCTTGCTGGTCTTTTATAGTTTGTCTGTTTGCTGTTGTTTATGTCAAAATAGATTACATCATCAGCTCTCCTGACTGTCCTTGGAAGTTGACCGGAAGTAGCGGCCTCTGGGAGATTGCTGGCAGCCGGCTGCTGGCACTGGCACTGGCAGTGCCAGTCACTCAAAGCCCATGAAAGTATGGCTTCCAAAACCTTTCCCGCGTTGAATCTCGTATGGTGTCCACTCACATGACATACCCACTACACATGTGGTGATAAACAATATCACATTTCACCAATACCGCACCAAGCCTATTCATCCAACAAAATCGAGTCTACCCATCACTAACCAAGACTGACAAGTCATGCTCATACCCGCTATGTTCGCTCCGCTCGCAATTGTCGCACTGAAGACCCAGTCTCATCTTTGGAGACCACTGTCCCGACAACTTTGGTGTGACTTTCTTGAAGGCGGGCGCTCACTGTAGAAGAGATCAAGGTTAGCTATCTTTGATTTGCCTTCTGAGACGAGGATTTCAACTGAGTTATGTGTTGCCCTTTTTTTTCTCGTGACCTGGTTGATCGCTGGGCATACGGAGCTAAGGTCCTTTACAAAGCTGGGGCTCATGGTGCTCAACTTCATTGCGCACACGGATATCTATTATGTATGCCTACTCGCCACCGGAAGAAACAATTATAGTCTTTTGACCGATTAATCTTGGTCTATTACATATGTCTACCAAGCTTGATAATAATCCTACCACATTTTAATTTTATATTACTTTCTGATAAAATTGATGATGTACCTGAGTTTTGATCAATTTGATTCCATAAGATTTTGATTTTTCATCTGGTTTTGAGTGATCTCGTACTTGAGTTTACTGTTTGCTTCAGTTTTTTTTCAAAAGACCAGTGCGAGAATGCTGGGAGCAACTGGTGTATTAGTCAAGATAGATGATGGTGGTGAGGGGGAATCGTCCTGGCTATACTTCTCCCGAGAGCCTTCAACCAGCTCTTATGTGATGGGGGTTTCAGGGCGCATGTGGTGCGAGTGAAGTTGTTGTGCAATTGATTTGGAGGGATTTCACGGAGGGGTGAAATCTTGGGGAAAGGGGTAAGTACCTGGCACTGGCAGTAGTGCCAGTAATCTCCCGAAGGCCGGGTGTTCCCAAGTTGACAGTGGTGCTATTTTGAAATTTAAAATCGATCAGTGAACCATACATACTTGATTACATACAATTTGATTACATACACATCCAAACCTGTCACACTTTGGTTCTAACCTGTCACAGATCATTCCAACCCGATCTAATTTCGTCTTGACTCTCTTGACCTCAACATCGAACTACGCTACCAGTGCCAGATCAAAACCTCAACTCTATCAACTTAGAAAACAAACCAAATCCATCATGCTCTCAACCAGCTTAACCAGACCAAGCCTACGTCTAGCTCGTCAAGCTCAACACCAACTTCGATTTGTTCATATCGAAAACACAGTAGGAGACGTATGTGAATCTTTTTGATCATCATAAGAATTAACTGATCATCTAAACATTAAACTGAACCGAAAATGTGTGTTTTTTTTTGGGTTGGTTCTTTTGAAATAGAATTTACCATTCAAGTATCGTGGTGAAGGTCAAACTAAAGCTAAAGTGGCTACAAAGGTTTCGGCTTTCTTTGTGGTTGGGTTCTTGGCTCCTTTTGCAATTGCACGTTATCAAATGTAAGTTTATTTTTGAATTCGAGTCGATTCGAAACTAAAAAAAGTTTGGATTTCGATTTGGAATGGATACTGATTATGAGGGTTTACTTGGTCTTGTAATTTGGAAACTCGATGGATGGTTTCGGTCGTTACTTAATATTTGAATTTCATGATGATATATAAATTAATCAAAATAGGAAAAAATCAGGTGCTTGGCCTTGAAAGGGGAGTTTCTAAATGATTCAAAGATTCGACAGTTGTGATGAGATTTTTGTTTGAAATCATATACTTGAAATCAACGTATTTCTATTAAAAAAATAAAGTTGTATAGAAAAGCTATGGTTCAAATTTTTAGGGGGGAGTGGGAATGGAGTGGGAAGTTTAGAGGATTGGGGTTTGGGTTTCTTTGAAGCTTCGTAAGACTTTAATTAACAATATCATATAGAGAAAAACAAACAAAGAGATTCTGTTGAAAATAAATAGGATGTGTGGTTTCTTATTACGAGATTCTTAGTTCAATAATTCAGCAGAGTATGTAAAGATGAGAGGTGTCAAATCGATCACTTCTTTTTAGGGGTCAAGGAGACTCCTAATTCTTGGAAGAAGTCAGAGAATTCGATTATCGTTGAGATCCGGCGAAAGTGGGCGAAAAGGCAGATGGGCGAAAAGTATCCTCAAGACGCCACCTTCCTGTATGTACATAGGAAGATGGCTTGAGCCTTGGATGTAGTACCTTGTAGTACAGGTCGCAATCGGAAACTCGCTCACTTCCAGCTCGCGACTATCAAGAGAGCATATGTAAGTAGGAGAAAACAATCACCTCCGCTAACGTCGTCAGATTGCATAACATCTGGCTGAGAAATGAATTGATCAAGCTCTGTCTGATTTAGAAAGATCAGCTTGACATATTCTGTTTTTAAGTTTTTTTTTTGCTTTCAAGTTTTTGGCTCCACTTCTTTGAACGGTCATTGGTTTTTATTTTCATTTCCACGTTTTATAAAGCTTGGATTGATAAATGTTGGCTTAAGCATTTTAAAGTGATTCAAATCTTCGAGTGTTTTGGTTTTATATCCTAAAGACTTGGATGAAATCTAACACCATCTTCCTCCACCCTTTATGATGATATGATGAATAATCTAAAAAAGTGAGATGCATCTGTTCTTCATCGAGATAGATAAAAATTGTTCGTATTGATTGAAATCTATAAACTTGAATCGAAGCAAAGGGTGAATGTTTTTATGTTGTAATGTTATATTATCATAATTGATGATCTGGTATACCATCGAGGTCTGCCAGGCCACCGCGATCCGGAAGCTTAAGCCACCTCACGAGTGGCTTATATTTTTGAATTGCGCTGTACCTCTTGCACGGACTTGGTACAGGCTGTCTCGTACATGAGACTTTTCGCCCGGGGATCGTTTCGCCCATTTCCAACAATCCTCGAATGCTCCCGAAGAAGTGAATATGTAATTAAATGGTTTGCACAAAGTGACTTTTTTTTCCATCGTTTATATCATGTATTTTAGTTTGTCTATAGTTTTAACCCAAAAGGAGATGATGAAAAGTAAGTACAGTCGAACCCCTCTAAAGCCATACCCCTCGGGAGAAGGGGAAACCTATGGGTATAGAGGGGCTATGTCTTTCTTGAGGAACCCCTCTATAGACATACATTCATGGCTTTACATTGAAAACCCTCTCAATATATGAAAATCATGGCTTTAGAGGGTGGACATTCCACAACCATAGAACATATCCCTCTAAAGACATGGAAACATGGCTTTATAGGGTGGTCACCCTACAGCCATAGAAAAGAGGACTTTATACGGGTCTTGTTGTTGAAAAAGTCTAACTTGCTATCAGATATTTCAGTATCTGCCATGTTAATTTTTTGTGAGAAGAATACATTTAAAATTGTAACTACATCACAAGATTTGTTTAATTTCTACTAAAGGAGAAAGTGATGGAGGGCTGAATTTTGTTGGCAAAATAGGTCTTGCTGGTCAATGTGCTTTCAAGAGCAGGGAGAAGGGGGTCAACAGCTGTTGCTTTCACTGCCAGCATTAAAGAGGTTCCCAGATGGGAATATGGGTCCTAGTGATCAGATTCCCATTCTGCTACTGTTACACAGTTCCATGAATATTGCCTGAGTAGCCATTGTGATATATGTAGTCAATATTTTGAAATGTGTGTCTCAATCTGAACAAAGTTACAGCATGTATTACACATGATTTCCTTATCTAGATGAGCAGATAACTGAGCGGACCTGTATGTAGCTGATAGCTAAGGATTTACTCAGATGTTTGCACATATGTAGTGTATGCTTTATGGCTCAGATGTGCAGTGCGAGATGATTTGATGCTCCATTCTTCTCTCAATGATATTCCCAGCCTAGGTCATGTTCCGACCAGGGAACCTATTTAATGCTGGCAGTGTTTGGGCATATCAGTACTTTCAATGAATTGTATAAGCAAAGATACTGCCTTCAAAGCTTCAGAAGCTGTTGGAGGTATCCCCTTTCCTACCTCCCTATTGGCCATTTTTCTATGGCTTTACATTGAAAAGATTGGTTTTTTTTGGATTCTGGGTATGGGTTAAGGGGTTAGACGGAACTATGGGTTTTTCACAAATTTTGGCCCCTCCCAACTTGGGAGAACCAAAAAACCATCACTATAGACGGGTTAAGGCTTTAGAGGGGTACTGCTTTAGAGGGGTTTGACTGTATGAAC